AGAAGTTTAAGTTTAAAAAATCTGGCTCTCAAAAGAAATTTCAATTGTTGTACTATTGATATTTGGCTCTGTTGACTAATGAGTTTGCCGACCACTGGTTTAAGGCATTAAATTTGTGGTCATTGTTATTCAACAGCAACAAACAACAATGTAGAAATTTTTGCCTATTTTGTTCACTGAGATATATCCTCAAGATCTAAATCATGCCTGACATATAGTAGGTACTCAATAAATACTTACTGAAGGAATTTAAGTGGAATTAGTTTCGCCTTAGGAACATCTCACCACATTCTACTTATTTTTTGTATGTTGCTTCAAACCTGTGAAACTGGTAGAGAGGGGGACAAGATGGCGACCAAACAGACGGACTTGTTCTGACCCTGGTCCCAGAACAGATAGAAGCAGCGTCTGAGTCGCTCAGGGAATCTTGATTGGCAGCTAAGGGGCAGCGGAACTCTAAAGGAAGGCAAGGAAGGGTCCGCTGGACAGGATTTCCTGACCAAGCAGCCAGCACTGCCGCGGCAGCTCTCTCGGAGCTGCGGACTCGGAGGGAAGGCTGCGCCATCTTACCAGGAAAGGAGGATCTTCTCTGAGGCCTGGAAAACCCACAATCAGTGCAAACACGTGGATTCAAGGGAGTTCTTCAATCACCCACGGAAAGGTCAGAGCTTGTGGGATAGCTTGAGGTTTCCGGGGCCCCGCTGCGCCAGCAGCAACTGCAGCCACTGCGCGCCCCGCGCCGAGCAGCGCCGAAAGAAGGCTGCGCTGCAGCGAGAATCCTGCCTGGGGAGACCCAGTGCCGGGTCTGGCGTAATCTTCCCCAGTAGTGGGACTCTTTTTAAAACACCAAGGGACACGGAACAGATTGTTAAAAATCGGGGCTATCGGACAGGCGCGGACATGTGCATTCCACAGAAACATTGGATTTTGCAGGGGATAAAGCGGGGTGTGTGTCCCAACAGCGAAAGCGAAAGTGGCAGCTGCGCCTCAGCTGCTGGGGTGGCAGAGACAAAAGCGCGGGCTGGGACCCCGGAAATCTGCATCCGCAGAAGCCCCCCACTGTTGGGTCTGGCGTGATTCAAGAGTGGGCGGGGGTCCCCAAGGTTGCTACTAGTGAGGTTCTCTAGGGAGCAACCCATTCTGATCTGACACAGTGGGAGAACAGAGGAGTTGGAAAGCAGTCTGTAAGTGCGCGCGACTCGCCCATCACGCACCTGGGCTGGTTCCCCTGCAACACTTTGCTTCTGACTACATAGGAGAGATCACCCAGATTGGCTGACCCTAAGAGACAGCAGGAGGAAACTGCTTTTCTGGAAACTGAGAAGCAGAGCAGGGAGAAATCATCCAGGATTCAGCTTCAAGGCAAAAAATAAACAAACAAACAAACAAACAAACACCCCCGGCATTGAGTGCCACAGAAAAAGAAGGCTAGAGCAGCCAAAAAGACTGGACATCAATCCACATACACTGCCACCTAGGGTCTGGAGTACAAACTGACTGTGTTTATTATTAGTTTTATTTTATCAAAAACCAAGAAACTAAGGAATCGCCACTGAGGTGCAGCAGAATGCAGGGAACTGCAATTACTGTCTGGACTGAGAAACGGGCGTGTCAAATAGAATAACAGAAGTGAATGGCCTTCACAACTGCACATTTTTTTTTGCTAAATTTATTTTTTTATTTTTTTTTATTTTCATTTTTTGCATCTTTTACTTAAGAAACATTTTTTTCCCTTTTTTCCTCACTAGATTTTAACTTTTTAATTATCACATTTTTAGGTTCAATAAGCATTTTTACTACTGCGATTTTAATTTTTTTAAGTGCCATTTTATTTTCTCTTTATTTAACATTGGAATTAGTGTTCTTCATTTTATTTTCATTTATCCTTTAACATTGTTTAACCCTAACTCAACACGACCTTTACACCATCATTCTCTTTCTACCCTCCCCCCTTTTACTATCCTGTGTATCTTAACCCTTTCCTGCTTCAGATTTCCTTACTCTCTCTGTATCCCCCCTGATAAAATTTCTACCCTACTTATATATCTAATTTCCAATCCCCTGTGAGAAGTGCACACACACCCCTCTCTGAGCTGTATTAAGTACAAAAAAAAAAAAAAATTGTTTCCTCATGGTTCTTTTGATGCTGTTTGGGGGAATGATGACTATATTGTATTTTTACGCTTTTTAGTGAGAGTATTTTGCTTATTCTTTTGCTGTTGCTGTTGCTCGGTATTTTCTTATTTGATTGGTTTTTGTTCATTGTTATTTTATTACTTCTGTTTTCCCTTCTGGTGCTGGAAATTAGGGAATGTTGTAGATTAGGGGTGTCGAACTCAATCAGAGAAGGGGCCAAAATCTAAAATCCAGCCTAAATCGCGGGCCGAATGGTTTACTGAACAGTCATAAACTGTCATTGTGATGGAAACGCAGCGGAGTGCAGTGATGACAGCGCGGTGCGGGCCACATTGCAAGGCCTGGCGGGACGGATTTGGCCCGCGGGCCTTGTGTTTGACACATGTGTTGTAGATTGTATTATTCTCCAGGTACTGCTGACAGCATTTGTTGGGGTTAGAGGTTGTTCAATTGAAATTCTCTCCCCAAATATATAGTTTATTCCCCTTTTCTCTCTCTCTCTCTCTCTCTCTCTCTCTCTCTCTCTCTCTCTCTCTTTCTCTCTCTTTCTCTCTCTCTCTCTCTTTCTTTTCCCTGTTTCCCAAATTCATTTTGACACTCTTTTTCCTATCTTTTTCTTTTGCTCCCGCCCTCTTCTCTTTTTACTCTTCCTCTTTCTCTCCTATTCCCTAATTTGCCTTTCCCTAGTGGTTACCTTTATTGGAAGTTATTAATATTGCAAACACATTTCTGTTCAGTGCCTTGTGTGTTGTACCTGGTTGTGTTGTACTTTGTGCCTTTAAATCAATGCAGGAGAGAGACATCCTGTAAAGAGAGACCATGGGGAGACAAAGAAACAGCCCACAAATGAAAGAAAAGCAGGCATCACCAGAAAAGGAAGTAAAGGAGTTAGAGGCAAGCAACCTACCAGAGCAAGAATTCAGAGTAACGATGTTAAGAGTAACTTCAGATAAGATGGCTAAAAAGAATGGAAGACAAATTTGACAATATGAGTAAGACCCAAGAGGAAATAAAGAAAAACCAAGAGGAAATGAAGATGTCTCAGGAAGAAATGAAAAATGTCATCGCTACTATGAAGAACTCAATAGAAAGCATCAAGAGCAGACTAGAAGAAGCAGAGGACCACATCAGTGAGCTAGAAGACAAGATGGAAAAAAATACCCAATTAGAGCAGCTTCTAGATAAAAAAAAAAAAATTAAAAAGCAGGAGGAGAGCCTACGGGAGCTTTGGGACAATGCAAAACAAAACAATATTCGAATAATAGGGGTTCCGGAAGGAAAGAAAACTGAGGTAGACATGGAAAACGTATTTCAAGAAATAATGACAGAAAACTTTCCCGAGATAGAGAAGAAAAAACCCACACACACCTGTGAAACTTCCATACTCTCTACAAATTTTTAATGAACTAGAGCTGGAATTCTTATGTTCAGAGATAAGTTGTCTGAGGGTAAGCAAAGGTTTTATTTATCTATATTGTCTAGTAAGTGCTGTAAGGACTTCTAAAACTTTCAGATAAGCTTGGAGTTTCAAAACTCAGCATGATTACCCAAAAGCATCAGAATAACTAAACACAAGGGTGCTCTAAAAAAAAAAAAAAAAAAAAAAAAAAAAAAGCTCTCATAAGAAAATATAAACAAACTAAAAAAATGTTATTTATACCATAAAAATGACCTCTAATTTTATAACACTGTCCTCAAATATCCAGTTTGCATGGTATAAAGACATACTGTAATCCAGTGGTTCTCAACCTTTCTGACACCGCTACCTTTCAGTACAGTTTCTCACGTTATGGTGACCCCAACCATAAAATTATTTTCGTTGCTACTTCATAACTGTAATTTTGCTACTGTGATGAATCGTAATGTAAATATCTATGTTTTCTGGTGATCTTAGGTGACCCTGCTAACCTCTGCTGTAGAGCCTAAGACCACCAGAAAACACAGATATTTACATTACGATTCATCATAGTAGCAAAATTACAGTTATGAAGTAGCAACAAAAATAATTTTATGGTTGGGGTCACCACAATGTAGTAAGCTCTGGATAAACATTTGTTACGTGAATAAATGATTTCTGACCACAGTTCTTTTCATGATTATTTGATGGTTTGTTTTGTGTTGTTCCTACCTTTGAAATAGGATGGATGGAGATAGAATAGATCTTGTATTCAGGTGTGCAAATGAAGGGATTGCTTCTGTATAGTTTTCCTGTTTCTGCCATTTGCTTGGCAATGGTGCATAACTATTTGCTGCCTCTCTGTAAGACTGTACAGCCCCACCCATTTCCACAGGCTGTTCAGGGCCTCATGTGGGCAAAGTGCCCCCTTCCCCCTTCATTTCATTATCAAGGTTAACTGCATGGCTGCATTGCAACAGGAATGTGAATCCATAAGGAAAATAAAAGCCATGCCATATCCTAGCAGGATTCCAAACTGATGATGTGAGGTGCTTGTATCTTGTTCTTTTCTTTTGCTCAGAACAGTGTGCTCCATATCAGGGCTGCTTATTTGGCCTGGACCCGAGAATTAAGGTCCAGTTCACCCACAGACAATTTGTCATGAGTGAGAGATAGATGTGTATTATTGTAGGTCACAGAATTTGTGTTGGTGCAGCAAAGCTAATATACCAACTATTAACTATTTAAGGGAGTAAGAATTAAGGAGAAATAAAAGAAAAATTAGGAAAGCTGTCTATAAAAATTCACTAGTGAAGAAATAAAGATTGTGTCTCAAATGACAATTTAAATAAAGGGGAAAATGAGTCCATTCACAAAAACTATACACAGTTCTCAGGAACATATCTTTTACAGAAGTCTATATGATGATATTTTATTAAAATACTTTAAGAATGCTAGAAAGTCAAACCTTGAAACGAACTGAAGAAGGTTACAATGTTAGGATGTTCCATCTTTGCCAGAAGAATGACTTCTTTCTTTGAAGCTTCTTTTTCTTGGATGGGCATCTAAATTACATTAATAGACAGAATAGTCTGTAAAGATAACTTGTTGTCAAGAACATGCTTCCTGCTTACTCCTATTGTAACAGTGGGAATTGTAACCCAGCTCACCATTCTTTTGACATTGTTTCTCTAAATGCTATTCTGACTAATATGTAGCTTGTAGATAAACAGCATATTTGTCTGAGAATCCTAGGAACTAACTTCAGAAGATGCAGACTTCAACCTTCAGCCATCCCAGTTTTGGGAGATTTGCTCTCCTTCAACAGTAAAACCAGAATAATGAAGACCAGGATGATACACACCAAACCATCACTTGACCAGTTTCAAGATCCTTATTGGAATGGACTGTACTGATCTGCACATAGAGAACCTTTCAACTCCCTCCCCTTGATCTCGTTGTTCTGATTTCCCTCCCCTGCCATATAAAAATCTTTGCCTGCAATGAGATTTTGAGATGGGCTTCGCAACAAGAGTCTTCTGTCTTCTCAGGTGTCTGGCACTTGAATAAACCACTTTCCTTTTTCACCAGCATTTGTCTCACAAGTTTGGTTTTCATGGCAACAGGCAATCGTTTGGTTTCAGTTACATTATCTAAAATTCTCCAGGTTTTACTGGCTTTAGTGGAACTTCTGAAACTAATCTCTCATCAGAAAACAAAATTTCCCTTAAATAAATTAAATGCTACTTTAATCACCGTCTGAGATGGCTACTTAGCCTACCCATGCACCACCATGCTAACCCACCATGGTCACCTTTCACAATCCACCTTCCCATCAGCACAATAAGAGAGTGACTGCTTCCTCCCATTTTTATATTCTTTTTCGTCCTCCCCAAATGCATAAACAAAAAGTGTTATTTATTTACATTAATTAGTTTACAAATTAATTTGAAATTGTCATGGGTTATGTCTTTAGTTATGGGTTTTGTTTTGTTTTTTATTTATAAAAACTAGCACCTTTTAGTCAATACTTGCAAATATTTTTTATATTTTGTGAATTTCCTTTCAATTTATTTGTGGTGGTTTTTTTGACACACAGAAGCTTTGTATCTCTATATAACAGTTAAACTTAGCCATCTTTTCCTTTATAATTCCTGTCCCAGTGAAGGTTTGGGGACATAACTGGAGCATTATCAAAATTGTGCTATGTGAAAGCTGGAGCCTTGAGAACGCTACTGACTGATCCAAGGCATGAACAAAAGAAATTCAAAGTCAAGGAAAAGAAAGAATCAACAGTATTTAACAAGAAATTCCATCTGGAAATGTTACAGGACAGTGAGAAGCTAGGAAAATTCCAGGGCAATGGAATAGGGAAACTAAGACAAGAATGTTAAAACAAGGCCAAACTGTGTGAACAATTTGCAACCAGCTATAACTGCAAGACTGCAAGCTCTTACCCTTCCCAAAGACAGCTTGAAAGCAAACGGTTAATGACTCTCCAACTAAAAAACGGAGGAAAAGGCTGTTTTATTTTATTATTTTTTAAATATACTTTTATTGATTTCAGAGAGGAGGGGAGAGGGATAAAAACAACAATTATGAGAGAGAATCATTGATCAGCTGTCTCCTGCAAACCCCTACAAGGGATCAAGCATGCAACATGGACATGTACCCTATCCAGGAATGGAACTGTAACCTCCTGGTTCATAGGTTGATGCTCAACCACTGAGCCATGCCAGCTGGACAGGGCAGTTTTATTTTTTACTCCATAAACAGAGAAGCCAGCAGTTTCAAGGGACCTTGAGAATTAATATGTACCAAGAAATTCAGCAGAGGATTTAAAAATCTATAGACAGGAGGGAATATAATGCCATTAAACCCCACCAACTCGCTCCTCATACTAGCTGAGTGCTGCTCATCTGTGCTCTGAGCCAGATGAAATAGATTTGCTTGCCTGGCTTCTTTAATAATTCTGTTTGCTTTAATTGCTTTAATAATTGGCTTCATCACAATGCAGTCAGGATCCCTCATTGAAATTCAGGAGGCTGTCAGATAACAACTTTTCTGGTGTTTTGGGTGCCTTTGAAGAGAAAAAAATTCACAGATGATCCCAAGGTTTTGAGCCTGGGTATCATAAGGACATTGATGCCATGAACACAGTGAAGCACACAGCAGATGAAGTGGGTTTGCTTAGAAAGATGAGAAACTTCTACTTTGGGGTATTTTTATGGTCCCTTTCAAGATAATTCTCAAGGATCTTCACCCTTAATTCTAGATGCAAGACAATAAGTGTTTATTACTTGAAGATATCTAGCTGGCAGATGAAATGCAGAGCTAAGGCGCTGGAAGGTATCAGGACTGGAGAGGGGGTTTTAAGAGTGATCTGTTTAGTGGTCACAATTGAAGTGAGGTGACTATACAAAGTACAGAGAAATGATGATACCATCGTAATAACTTGATTATTAATTAACAGGAAAGGTGCAAAGGAAAGGCCAGATCATATAAGCATGCCATTTGTGCCAGAAGGCTGCATTTACCACTCTCCACATCTGTTTCCTGCAGAACCTGGGGGAAGGAACTGGACAAAGAAAGATTAGACGCAGGCCCAGTAAAGCCTAGGTGACATAGAGAGGGTGCCTGCCTGTCGATCATACCTGGGAACAGAGTAGGCATATAGACGTGGCCACTGCAGGTGCAGGAATATTTGCTATTTAAGCTCCTAAATAAAGAGCTGCTCTCTCTTGTCTGCTGGCCCACGCAACTGGCTCTCTTGTTGTGCCCTCCCCCCACCCCTTGCACTCGCCCACATGGCCAGACTAATGGGCTACAACTAGCCTGAAGCTACAGGGGACCCAGCTCCACCATGGGACACTCTGGACACTGGCTTTGCTTTTAGCTCTGCTGGATTCCCAGCTGCACCTTTCCCAGGACTGGTTTAAGGGAAATAGGACTTTGGAAACCAAGGGATATAACTCCATGCAAATGAAGCTTTCTACCACATCTCATTCTCCTCTGGGGGCCTCCAGAAATCCTTACTCCAGTGGCTCCCCAAGAACTCCACTTCCACCAACAATGGAGAAATTCCACCTGCACAATTCTCCAATAACAATGCGAGTCAGCAAAGGATACATAGAAGGTGTGTAGACAGCGAGGCCTGAGAAAAAGTAGTCAGATACACAAGGAAGTGAGCAGAATAATGTCATAAAAGGAAGCACTGACAGAATACTAGAATAAGAGGGCATTAGTAGAAGTAAACCATAGATCCATAAAAAGGACCCTATTTTGGTAAATAAAGCATTCTCTTAGAAGTTAATCATCTATACTTTCAGCTTTGATGTAAATTTGGTTAGTCCTCTCTTTTTTTCTTCTTTGCAATTTTTAAACTGTGATAACATAAATATAACAAAGTTTACAACATTTTAACCATTTTTAGGTGTCCAAATCAGTGGCATTATTAACACTGTGCAGCTTGAGTAGTCTATTTTGCAGACATTATGTATAAATCTTTTTCTGCTGCTCTCATGTAGAAATCCTCTAGAACAGGGATGGGGAACCATTTTTCTGCCAAGGGCCATTTGGATATTTATAACATCATTCATGGGCCAAACAAAATTATCAACCTAAAAATTAGCCTGCTATATTTGGTCAGACATTTCATTAACTCACCCCTAGTGCCTCGGCAGGGCCAGACCAAATGATTCCAAGGACCTCACACAGTGCACTGGCAAAACAGCTAAGTCAGCAACAGAGGAAGGCAGTGCCTCATAGCTGCAGGCCACCCCATGGAGTGCCATAGGAGCCAGGGTGATGTGGATTCTTTTCTTTTTACTCTTGATTTTTTTTTTCTTTTTGTGTGTGTGTATATATATATAGTTATTGATTACAGAGATGAAGGGAGAGGTAGAGAGATATAAAAATATCAATGGTGAAAGAGAATGATTGATTGACAGCCTTCAACATGCCCCATACTGGGGATCGAGCCTGAAACCTGAGCATGTGCCCTGATTTTGGGGGTTGGGGGGGGGGGGGCAATAGAATGTAACCTTCTGGTTCATAGGTCAATGCTCAACCACTGAGCAACACTTATTTTTTTAAATACCTATGTTTACTGGTTGCTGTTTGGACAATGGATTTAGGAGGTGGAATTAACAAGAGTCGATTAGCTCATACCTGTAATAAAAACCCAAAACGTGTTTCCTTTAAATACTAGATTAAAAGCCAGCTGAATACACCACTGAGTATGAATAGGAATTTGAATTTCTTAATTTTACCTTTGCAAAATTGATCTCTTTTATAACACAGTGCTTGCTATCTGATTTCCCTTTGGCCAAGTATGCTTTCCCAAAGGCACCTTCCCCAATGACCTTAATCACATCATATTTATCCATGGTTTCCAATGCACGAAGTTCCCTGAAATTAGAGAAATGAAATTTTATTGCACCTTTTTCATAAACATTAACAAAGTCAGAAAATCGATCACTAAAATATAAAAGAACTCCTTTTGCTAAAACTTTCCTTCGGACCTCAACCAAGACAGTCAAATAACCTTCCAGGTGGCCGCAGGTAACAGCCAAAATGGGACGGCGCTTCTTGGTGGGCTCTGAGATCAGACGTGGGCTGTTGCTCAGTTGGCACCCTGGTGGGTGAGCTGAGCATTATCACCCTATGAAGCAGGATGTCCTTATGCCTTCGGCATTTTATAACCCAGCCTTTCTCAGTAACGAAAACTGCCCCCTCGGGGGCCTTTTGGAAATTTATGGGGTTTGGTGTGTTTTTGTTTGTTTGTTTGTTTTTCTGTTCTCCTCAGAGATGGAGAGGCACCGAGGAATTTAGAAGCAGTTAGGGCCGAAACCAGTTTGGCTCAAGTGGATAGAGCGTCGGCCTGGGGACTAAAAGGTCCCGGGTTCGATTCCAGTCAGGGGCATGTACCTTGGTTGCGAGCATATCCCCAGTAGGGAGAGTGCAAGAGGCAGCTGATCGATGACTCTCTCTCATCGATGTTTCTAGCTCTCTATCTCTCTCCCTTCCTCTCTGTACAAAATCAATAATATATATATATATATATATATATATATATATATATATATATATATATTAGAAGCAGTTAGGGAGTAGGACCCAAAGATTCTGAGATAGAAGGGACGGTCCACACAATAAAGCACATGTGTCAAACAAGGCCCTCGGGCCAAATCCGTCCCGCCAGGCCTTGCAATGTGGCCCGCACCGCGCTGTCATCACTGCACTCTGCTGCGTTTCCATCACAATGACAGTTTATGACTGTTCAGTAAATCATTCGGCCCGCGATTTAGGCTGGATTTTAGATTTTGGCCCCTTCTCTGATTGAGTTCAACACCCCTACAATAAAGAATTATCTCGCAGCTCTACATTAGAAAGTCTCCCCCACATTCATGTTCCTGGAAAAATCCATATATCTGCAGCTAAAACCCAACTCTGTTTTACATATGAATACAAAGCAATTTTAACACAGTTTTAATGAACAATTTTTGAGGGATGCAACTACACGTAAGTCAAGGCTTAACTGCACTTAGTTTTGTTTGGGAGTTTACCAAGACCTCTTCACCGTTTTTTGGAAACTCATGCCTCCAACTGCCTCTGCTGGCAGCTGAACCCATCGTGGGCAGTGACTCCGGGCAGTGCGTGTTCAGTGTAGCAGCACAAGCACTTACAGATGGAAACACTTTGTTATAAACTGTTCCCTTGCATCTCCCCTTTATACTTCCTGTTCAGGTCTGATGTCGACTTTCTTAAAACCGAATGAGCAGACTGGTTATTTTTTTTTTTTTAACCATCTCTTAAAATTGATTTTCAGAAAGAGGAAGGTGGGGTGGAGAAACACTGATGTGAGAGAAACATCCATCAGCTGCCTCTCGCCTGGGATCCAACCTGAAACCTGGGTGTGTGCTCCGACCTGGGATCAAACCCGCCACCTTTTGGTGTGGGGAGGCCGATGCAACCACTGAGTCCCTGGCCAGGGGTTCTGCTTTGTAGTGAGGCAGGAGGTTCTGCTTGGGAGTGAGGCCAGGAGGGTGGGGGGTGGGGGAGGGGGAGTTGGGGGGGGGGTTCTGCTTTGGAGTGAGGGGGGGGGGGGGTGCTGCTTTGGAGTGAGGCCAGGGGTTCTGCTTGGGAGTGAGGCGGAGGGGAGGGCGGGTGCAGCTTGGGAGTGAGGCCGGGGGTTCTGCTTTGGTGATGTTTGCGGGGAAGGAAGGGGGAGGTGGGGGGGACGGGGCTGGGCACCGGCTCCGCGCCCAGAGGACGCTGCGGACCCCGGATTCTGAGGGAGGCAGATAGGGGATCGGAAGCCAGGGCAGCAGCGCGGGAACTACCGGCCCGTGACGCTCCCGAGGCGGCAGCAGGGGGTTAAAGCCCAGGTTTTGGGGGGAAATCCTCCTTTAGGGACACTCCCCGAAGCAACTGAGCTATGCGTTGCCATGGAGACCGACGCACAGGAGCCGCTCCGCCGCAGGGTCCTGGGTGCGGCTCCATTCCTCCCCGGAGACTCCGGAGCCCTGGGGGCGGCTGGGGAGGGACTAGGGGGCCGCGCTGCGTACCTGCTCCGGCTCCGCGGCTCCGCGGGCGGAGAAGCCTCCGGGGACCTGCGTCCGGGCCGCTGGGCGCGCGCGCGAAGGGCGGGGGGCGGGGGCGGGGCCTGGGCGAGTCAGAGGCCGGCGGGTTTGGAGACCTGGCCTGTCACCTCCCTAAGTCCGGACTTTTGCTAGCACTCAGCAAGCACACAGTTCCCGTTCGTTCTTGCTGGCAGCGAACCAGGTTCTTTGCATACATTGTCCCTATTCTTTACAATAACTCAGCCAAGTAGTGCACGCTCAGTTTTACAAATGAGCTACATTGAGACAGGAAGTTTCTTATGCAAGGTCTCAAATTCTCGTCAAAAGATGGACACTTGGAATGGAATCCTACAATTCCATCCATAGCCAGCAGCTAAAATTCAGTGACACAGAAGTTCAAAGTCTACCTCATTACAGATATGAAATGACACGTTTCAATATTAGCATTAACTAAACCATAGTGACCTAGACTGACCACATTAATGTCATAGAATAGTTGGATCTCTATGTTTACCAAAAGATAAAATAACTAACCTTTTTAGAGGAAAAAAAAATTTAATATCACAATTTCAGTATTGTAATTATCAATGTAAAGTGTATTTTTGAAGCTTATTAAAAGTTTCCCAATTAATTTAAAAAAGTAAACTCTTAAGAATCAGAAAGTTTTGCCGGCACCGGTTTGGCTCAGTGGTAGAGCGTCGGTCTGCGGACTGAAAGGTCCCGGGTTCGATTCCTGTCAAGGGCATGTACCTTGTTGCAGGCACGTCCCCAGTAGGGGATGTGCAAGAGGCAGCTAATCGATGATTCTCTCTCATCGATGTTTCTAACTCTCTATCTCTCTCTCTTTCTCTCTGTATAAAATCAATAAAAATATATTTAAAAAAAAAAAGAATCAGAAAGTTTTTATTATTCCTTTTTTTCCCCTGAACTCTTATTTCTTCCATGTGTAATGTTTTTCATGCTTAAAAATCTTATTGATCACCCTATTATATAAATGGAAATTACTTTTTCCTGATAGAGGATTTTTAATGGATTATTAAAATTATTAGTAGTATATCATTGATCAAAATAAAATAAATTACATTAGAAGATGGCGGCATAGATAAACACCTAAACTGCTACCTCACACAACAATTTCAAAACTACAATTAACTATCACCCAGAATCATGGGAAAGCAGGCTGAGTGAAAGTTCTACAACTAGAAGGAAAGAGAAAAGAACATTGAGACATGCACAAGTGCTAAAAAGCTGAGGTAGGGAGACATGTGAATCGGGCTGGCAGCAGGCGTCTGGGTGCCCTGCTTTCTTCAACCCAAAGGGAGGCAAGCTCCCGATTACTCTGAACTCCAGTTTCTGAGAAGCTCGGACCCAAACTCCTATGGAGAGAAGCTGGACTGTCTGCCATTGGATCGGAAAGTGACTTCTTGCAGAGGTGCGCGCAGCAATCATTGTTACTGCGCTGGGGCGCAGGGCACGAGGACTTGGAAACACAGAGACACAGAGACGGCTGATTGGCAGCCTTGGCCTAGCAACTCCCTGAAACCCCACCTCACACAATCTACAAACCCACCCAAGCTCTACCCAGTGGCTTTTGCATTAAATGGCCTGCCCTATCACAGCTTAACCAAACAAACTGCAGCTCTGGTCAGACAGCTCCAAAACCTCCAAACCCCAAGCAAAGAAGAGAAAACTGTAGTTCTCAACAGCTGTAGCTCCTGTTGGATGGCCTCAGATAGTAGCTGACCTTCGGAGATCCAGAAGCTAATGTACCTAGTGGTCAGTGTGAGATGACACCAGATTTCAACTACTCACATCCATAAGTGACACATTCAAGAGGCAGACTCAGTCGAAACCGGTTTGGCTCAGTGGATAGAGCGCTGATCTTCGGACTGAAAGGTCCCAGGTTCGATTCCAGTCAAGGGCATGTAAATTGGTTGCAGGCATATCCCCGGTAGGGGGTGTGCAGGAGGCAGCTGGTCGATGTTTCTCTCATTGATGTTTCTAACTCTCTATCCCTCTCTCTTCCTCTCTGTAAAAAATCAATAAAATATATTTTTTTAAAAAGAGGCAGACTCAGTGAACATCAAAGCCCTACTGAAGTAAGTCCTGCCCCATAAGTGTGTCTCCAGCGCAGCAGTTTTTCCATTATAGAGACAGCAAGTCCTCACAGCCAATTGGCCTGGAGGTCAATTCCTTCCAGTGACACCAACAATTAAGATTTAACTACAGCCGAAACCGATTTGGCTCAGTGGATAAAGCATTGGTCTGCAAACTGAAGGGTCCCAGGTTCGATTCTGATCAAGGATATGTGCCTTGGTTGTGGGCACATCCTGGGGGGGGGGAGGGGGAGGGGGAGTAGGCGGCAGCTGATCGATGTTTCTCTTTCATCAATGTTTCTAACTCTCTAACCCTTTCCCTTCCTCTCTATAAAAAATCAATTATATTATATTATATATATAGATATATAGATATAGATATATAGATATATTTTTTTAAACACTTAACTACAATAAGGCTGTACACACAGCCAACAAAGGGAAGCACCAAGAGTGTCCACCTCAGGTAACAGAGAGACTGACCCACTGGACCATATAGGACACCAAACACACAAAGCCACCCTACCAACTCAGAGACGAAACGAAAATGCGATGACAAAGAAACAGATCACAAATGAAAGAAATGGAAGAAAACAAAAGACTGGATATAGAGTTCAAAACCATGGTCATAAGGTTTCTCAGGAATTTCCTAGGTCGATAAATTTAACGAGACTCTTGAGGATATGAAAAAGGACCAAACAGAAATTAAACATATAATGACTGAATTAAAAAATATTATACAGAGACCCAACAGCAGACTAAAGGAATGCAAGAATCAAGTCAAAGATTTGAAATACAAAGAAGCAAAAAATACTCAACCAGGAAAGCAAAAAGAATCCAAAAATTTGAAGATAATGTAAGGAGCCTCTGGGGCAACTTCAAGTGTACTAACATCCAAATTATAGGGGTGCCAGAAGAAAAGAGAGAGCAAGATACTGAAAACCTATTTGAAGAAATAATGACTGAAAACTTCCCCCACCTGGTGAAAGAAACAGACTTACAAGTCCAGGAAGCACACAGAACCCCAAACAAAAGGAATCCAAAGATGACCACACCAAGACACATCATAATTAAAAAGCCAAGAACAAAAGACAAAGAGAAAACATTAAAAGCAGCAAGAGAAAAACAATTAACTACAAGGAAGCACCCATACAATTGTCAGTTGATTTCTCAACAGAAACTATGCAGGCCAGATGAAAGTGGCAAGAAATATTCAAAGTGATGAATAGCAAGAACCTCCAACCAAAATTACTCTACAAGCAAAGTTATCATTCAGAATTGAAGGTCAGATAAAGAGCTTCACAGACAAGAAAAAGCTAAAGGAGTTATCACCACCAAACCAGTATTATATGAAATGCTGAAAGGTATTGTTTAAGAAGAGGAAGAATAAAAAAGTAAAGACAAAAATTATGAACAATAAATACACATCTATCAACAAGTGAATCTAAAGATCAAGTGAACTAAAAATCGCCGAAACTGGTTTGGCTCAGTAGAGCGTCGGTCTGCAGACTGAAGGGTCCCGGGTTCCATTCCGGTCAAGGGCACGTACGTTGGTTGCAGGCACATCCCCGGTGGGGTGTGCAAGAGGCAGCTGGTAGATGTTTCTCTCTCATCGACATTTCTGGCTCTTGATCTCTCTCCCTTCCTCTCTGTAAAAAATCAATAAGATATATTTTTTTAAAAATCAAGTGAACTAAAAATCAGAGGAACAGAATAAACTGGTGAATATAATAGAATCAAGGGCATAGAATGAGAGTGGATTTATAATTCTCAGGGGAAAAGGAGTGGGGGGGTGTGAAGAGACTGGACAAAAATCGTACACCTATGCCGAAACCAGTTTGGCTCAGCGGTAGAGCATCGGTCTGTGGACTGAAAGGTCCCAGGTTCGATTCCGGTCAAGGGCATGTATAATACGTTGGTTGGGGGCACATCCCCGAAAGGGTGTGTGCAAGAGGCAGCTGGTCGATGTTTCTCCCTCATCAACGTTTCTAGCTCTCTATCTATCTCCCTTCCTCTCTGTAAAAAAATCAATAAAATATATATATATTTTTAAATTGTACACCTATGGATAAGGACAGTGTGGATTGGGGGGGCGGGGTAAGGGCAGAGGGCGGGGTGGGAACTGGGTGGAGAGGAGTTATGGGGGGGGAAATGAGAAACAATTGTAATTAGCTGAACAATAAAGATCTATTAAATTAAAAAATATATGGGCTAGATGTTGTGACTGGCAAAGAGTGAACAGAGCATGAAAATGGAAAATTGGTAACTTTTCAGTGGAGAAGCTGGCAGTCACTACCTTAGCCAAGTAATCAAGGTTAACAACTGTAATAAATCATGTTGAGATGACATTCTCCCTGATATGATGTGATGGGAAAAGCACTTTACTTGTATGGTAATCTTCCCCAAATATTTTTTAAACTATATTTTATTGATTTATTACAGAGAGGAAGGGAGAGGGATAGAGAGCTAGAAACATCGGTGAGAGAGAAACATTGACCAGCTGCCTCCTGCACACCCCCTACCGGGGATGTGCCCGCAACCAAAGTACATGCCCTTGACCAGAATCATACCTGGGACCTTTCAGTCCACAGGCTGACACTCTATCCACTGAGCCAAACCGGTTTCGGCCTTCCCCCAAATCTTTAAGCTCAATCTTAATGTGGAAAAAAAAAAAAAAAAATCAGACAAACCCAATCTGAGGAACATTCTACAAAATACCTACCCAGTTTTCCTCAAAGATCTCAAGGTCCTGAGAAATAAGGAAAGACAGAGAGACTGTCAAAAACCAGAGGAGACTAAAGCTGACTAAATGTTGAAATATAAATAAACTGTGAGGGGTGTAGGTCTGTACCAGTGTTTGTATGTAAGATAAAAACATGTTTAAAATTTTTAAAAACAAAGTATGTTTTTATTGATTTTAGAGAGAGAGAAAGGAAGAGGGAGAGAAACAGTGAAAACAGGGAAACATCAATCAGCCTAGTCCTACTGGGATCAAGCCTACAACCCGGACATGTGCCCTGACAGGGAATCAAATCAGGATCTCTCAGTGCATGGGATGACACTCAACCAACTGAGCCACCCGGGAAAGGGCAAAGGTGTTTAAATCTTCAAAAGATGTATATATTCTATTTCCTCCCATTCTTCACTTGAGCATTATTCCCTCTACCTAGTCAGGCATATGTTGTTCCTACACTTGGAATCCCCAGGGAAGAGGCTATTTCTTCCTTAGTAAAATATTCTTTTAAAATATATATATATTTTCATTGATTTCAAAGAGGAAGGGGGAGGGAGAGATCGAAACATCCAGGATGAGAATCATAATCATTGATTGGCTGATCCTCCACGCCCCCAACTGGGAATCGAGCCCACAACCTAGGCATGTGCCCTTGACTGGAATCGAACCAGGGACCCTTCAGTCCACAGGCTGATGCTCTATCTACTGGGCCAAACGAGCCAGGGCTTTACTAAATACTCTTAGCCTGCTGATTGGTCATGGATTTAATGACAGGACCCAACACAGTAGTGTGTCATGGTGATCCATATGTTGTGATCCTGCTCCTTCCATTAGGTGCATAACATTCTAATTTCTGATACTTTCCATATTGATTCCTCACCGTTGGCCCTATTCCTTTCTCCTGTACAGGACTGGCAACTTCTGAAAAGATATGTAACCCACCTATCCTCCCAGGGTGGATCCTCTGAACTGGGCTCTTTTGTGAATCCTGTGAGGGGCTGTATTTAAGAACAGCTGGTATTAAAGATCACGGAAGATCACTGATCACTACCAAGAGATAAGTCTTATTGAAAAACTTCACACATTATTATGTTATAATTTAATATATGTAGATCCTAAAATTTTTAGGAAATGTAAAAAGAGTTACATAGTAATAAAAAGAAATCATAACAATGCAAATATTGTGGGTTGCTCTCATGCTCCATGGTCAGCATCCTTATGAGACAGGCATTATTATCTTCATGTTATAGTTGAGGAAATTCAGGCCCAAAGAGATTAAGTAATTTCTCACAAACACACAAATAATGAGCATCTAATTTCTGTTCTATCTGACTGCAAATCCTGAAGCTCACACCCGTAATTCTACATCTTCTCCTTTGCATTAAAAAACATACAAGAATTGTAGATTTTTAAACTAATTGTAGATTTTTAAACTGTTTCCAAGGGAAAATATACAGTCCAATAGCTAATATGCAAACATTAATTCCTCACTCTACACATCTGTTCAGTGTGACTAAGGAGCATTCCTTGGGCATCAGTCACCAGACACTCCTTGCCAGCCAGCCCTCTGCTTCAGTTCCGACACCCAATCAAAGTTGTCTTCCTCCTCAAAGTCCCTGTGAAAAAATGACATGAATATTAAGCCTCCATGTTAAGGGTACGGTAAGTATTTGTTGATGGGTTCAAAGCAGAACACCATAACAATATCCACATTAAAAAAAAAAAAAAAGAGCTTCAAGGCAACTGAACAGAGAAAAAAATTGGTTAGTTCTTCCAAAAGAACATTTCTTTTACTTTTTATATTTTCAATAGAAAATATATATATATTTTTAAATAAATCCAAGCTGAACAATTTTAAACATTTGGCTCAGTCAGGAATTAGTAATTACCATTATGCATTACCCACCTCAGACAAAAGATCAAGTTATAAATATTTATTTACTGTGTAAAATAATATAACCAGCTGTTAAACCTGAGATTATTGAGATTAATCACACACACACAGTCACACCCCACAACCGAAGCTTTATAGGTCCAGCACAACGTACGTGTCCTCCTCATCCAGTCCAGGTTCGAGTCTCTCTGGGTCCAAAATGACAGAATCGTAACCTCCGTCAACACTGTCTGATGCTTCTGCTTCTTCAGACAAGGGACCTTTCAAGCAGAACCCTTCTGAACCTGCAGAGGAATATTAACAGAAATCATGCAGATTTAAACAGTATTTACTCATTTCCTCACGTTGGACTAAAATCCTCCAAAAGCTTGCTGGCTAATTGAGGACAATCCCATGCTCCATATTTCTTCTGCAGTGCCTCCCCACATTACCCACATGATTTCTGGCATAAAGCAGGCCCAGTAAGCATCAGCATGTATATTAACTTTAAAAATACTACTTTCTTAGCCCTCGCCAGGTAGCTCAGTTGGTTAGAGCATCATCCCACTACACCAAGGTTGCGGGTTCAAGCATGTGCCCATTTAGGGCACATACAAGAATCAACCAATGAAGGCATAAATAAGTGGAATAACAAATCAATATTTCTCTCTCTTTCTCTCTCAAATCTATAAATAAATTTTTAAAAAAATACTACTTTCACCATAGTGGATTCAATTCCCAGTCAAGGCCATGTACCTGATTTGCAAATTTAATCCCTAGCCCCAGTCAAGAGGCAAGCAATCAATGTGTCTCTTACACATCAATGTTTCTCTCTCTCTCTTTCTTGCTCTCTCTCTCTCTCTCTCTCTCTCTCTCCTCCCTCCCCCGGTCCCTTCCTCTCACTCTGTCTAAAAATCAATGGGACAATATTCTTGGATGAGGATTAACAACAACAGCAAAAATATTACTTTCTTCAAAATAAAATATTCAGAATATAATTAAACACTCAAATATAAGAACTTATGTTGAAGCATTGAAAGTTACCTTTGGGTTGTTAGATTATAGTTTTTATTGTGATGAAGTCTGAACTGTCAAGTCACCAGTATACTTTCACAGAAAAAATGAGCTACTTTGCAAAGAAAGTAGTCACAAATAAGCAAAGAACTGAGTAAACAGGAGTAATATAGCTCTACAGAAAATTTTAATTATAGTTTAAGACTGTCTGGAAAATATTTAAGAAAACCTAAAACCACAGTGCTATGTATGTGATTTTATAGCCTGAAAATAAAAGGGTTTCTGGGAGGTAAAAATGGGAGTTATTGTTTAATGGGCGGGAAGACGGGAAAAGTTCTAGAGGCGGATGGTGGTGATGGCTGCACAACAATGTCAATGTGCTTAATGCCCCTAACGGCACAATTAAAAGTGGCCAAAATGGTAAATTTATGTTACGTGTATTTTACCACAATTAAAAAGAACACCAAAGGGTTTCCATGATTACATCACAGACATAAATCACCTGGTCTATATATTGTGTATGTTTGAAATGCCAAGCTGAGATCAGCATTCTTAAGGATGTTCAACAAGGTCTCAGGAGTCTCTTTGAGCCACTGCTTACGGCTATTATTTCCACTGTACTTTATTACAGAACCACCTAGTTGTGAAAAGATAAAAATTAGGATCAAAGAAAAAATATTTTCAGCATATTATCTTCAAGATCATATATCAAGTAAAATTAATTACATTTTATTTTCTACTAAAATCTATTTCACTCACCAGTGACACCAAATAACCTTTACAGAATGACATTTTCAAAAAATATCTAGCCCATTAAACAACTATTAGAAAACGTTCCATAATAATAGTAATCTGACTACTAACCTCTATCATCCTCTGCAGTCAAACTGGAGGAGAGTATGGATGCATTTTCCAAAGCTGCAAGCGCTGTAGAGGATGCACGTTTCTCCCACTGTCGCCTGAGGGGATTTGGTGAACTGGCTTCCCTCGGATGGACTGATTTATTATCTGGTTCTAAAATGTAAAACAGGACTGCTAAGCATATTCTTTTTATTTATCTATTTCTAAACATGTCTTTCTCTAACAACAAACATAAATATTTCTTTTCTCTTTCAAGATCAGATCTAACATGTTCTCCAAGTCTAAGTAGTAAAGGAAATGAAAAAAATCCACATGAAAAACGAACAAATCATTAAGGTGATTTTAAAAAAATTATACATATATATATACATATACATATATATAGACACACACATATATATACATATATATACACACACACACACATAAAAAAATAAATATGTAAATTGACTGTCACTTTGCAACACCCACCAGCCAATCAGGAGTGGGTATGCAAATAAGTGGAACAAATATGGTAGCAGCCAGAGAGAGAGGAGGCTTGGGTTGCCTCTGGCAATGGAGGAAGTCAAGCTTCCCACCCACCTGGGCTGTCCTCGAAAGGAGGGGCCTGTGGGCAGCAGCCATGGAGCCGGCCGGGGCACGTGGAAGGCTTGGGTTACCCCCACCTGCCCTGGTTGCCACTGAAGGAGGGGCCTGTGGGCAGCAGACACGGATCAGGCCAGGGCACTTGGAAGGCTTGGGTCTCCAACACTGCCCTGGCCTCTGAAAGAGGGGCCTGTGTGTGGCGGCCATGGAGCTGACCTGGGCACGCAGGAGGCTTGGGTAAATGTCGCCCGGGCCAGCTTCTGGGGGGGAGGGGGCCCTGAAAATGGCCTTCAGCCCCTTACCTGGACTGGCCTCTCCCCCCATGGGGTGAGGGTAACTGCTGGGGGGCATGGCCAGTCTACCAACAGCCATCAGCCCCTCACCCAGGCTGGCCAGGCACCCAAGCAGGGACATCTACCCTGAAGGGAGTGTGGCCAGCCTGAAAACAGACCTCAGCCCCTCACCCAGCCTGCCCCGCCCCTCAAGGGAATCCCCACCCTGATCCAGGACACCCTTCAAGACAAACCAGCTGGCCCCACCCATGCACCAGGTCTCTATCTATACTAATCTATACCAATAAAAGGGTAATATGCTAATTAGGCTGGGAGACCTTCCAGGAGACGTTCTGGATGTTCCTCTGGACAAAGCCATGGTGGTGGGGCTGAGGTAGAGATGGGGAGGCAGTTGTGGGTGATCAGGCCAGTGTGTGTGTGTGGGGGGGAGGGTGCGAGGGGGTTGAACAGGCCGGTGGGGAGGGGGAGGGTGCGAGGGGGTTGAACAGGTCGGTGGGGAGGGGGCAGTTGGGGGTGAGCAGGCCAGCAGGGGGGAGGCAGTTGGAGGCAAGCAGGCCATCAGTGGGGATAAGTTGGGGGCAATCAGGCTGGCAGAGAAGGCAGGTGGGGGTGAGCAGGCTGGCAGGGGGAGCAGTTGGTGGTGAGCAGGCCAGCTGGCAGAGTGGTTAGGGGTGATCAGACAGGCAGGCAGGTGAGCAGTTAAGAGCCAGCGGTCCCAAATTGCAAGAGGGATGTCTGACTGCCGGTTTAGGTCCAGCAGTTGGACATCACTCAAAGGGTCCCAGATTGAAGAGGATGCAGACCAGGCTGAGGGACACTCTTCTCCGTGCACGAATTTCATGCACTGGGCCACTAGTACTTACATATTATACTTTATACAAGAATGAAGCCCTGACAGGACTTAGATATACAATGAATGCCATGTTTTTAATGGTGGAGAGCATAACAAATATTAGTTTTTCTAATTATTAGCCTATATAATAAAAAAAACCCACGAATATGCAAATCCATTGAACGGTGGAATGACTTCGCTATGATGCACATTAACCAGCAGGGGGCAGATATTCGATGCAAGAGCTGCCCCTGGTGGTCAGTGCGCGCCCACAGGGGGAGTGCCACTCAGCCAGAAGCCAGACTCATGGCTGGTGAGCACAGTGGGTGGCAGGAGCCTCTCCCGCCTCTGTGGCAGAGCTAAATATGTCCAGGAGTTAAACACCCCCTAAGAGTTCCTGGACTTCGAGAGGGTGCAGGCTGGGCTGAAGAATCCCCCTTCCTCCAAGTGCATAATCTTGTGCACTGGGCCTCTAGTTAATAAATACTATCCTCACCCTGACCAGTTTGGCTCAGTGGATAGAGCATCGGCCTGTGGACCAGAGGGTCCCAGGTTTGATTCCAGTCAAGGGCACATGCCCAGGGCTCGGTTCCCAGTGGGGGGCATGCAGGAGGTAGCCAATCAATGATTCTCTCACATCATAATGTTTCTTTCTCTCTTCCTCTATGAAACCAATAAAAATATTTAAATAAATAAATAAATAAATACTATCCTCTCTCTCTTTCTCTCTCTCTCTCTCTTTCTCTCTCTCTCTCTCAATATATTTTATTGATTTTTTAGAGGGGAAAGGAGAGGATAGAGAGCTAGAAACATTGATGAGAGAGAAACATCGACCAGCTGCCTCCTGCACAGCCCCCAACGGGGATGTGCCTGCAACCAATGTACATGCCCTTGACCTTTCAGTCCGCAGACCGATGCTCTATCCACTGAGCCAAACCGGTTTTGGCCTATCTACTCTTTTTTATGGATAAATAAGACACTTCTGAAATAAATTACTCGATTAGCAAACCAAAATCTGCATGTGTCCACTTGTTTATGACACCTATTACCTAGTAATGCAAAAACTGGTCCCCCTTCTATATTTCCCAGCCCCTCACTTACACAATGATCAGAAATTGAATAACTTACCTTTCTCTTCTCTGTTTACTCTCCTCAGTGTACTTGCCACTGAATTTTTATTACTGCTTTCTAAATCAGGGTGGCTACATTTTCTACCTTGTTCTTCCCCTTGCTTTAAAAGAGATTAAAAATTCAGTTTAAACAATGCTTGAATTGCTATAAAAAAGGTAAATAAAAAACTATACAAAGTCAGCTGTGCCATGCCAGCACAGCCAAGGGTTCGGTGAGCCTGAGGAGGGGCAGTGAGGGTTAAAGAAAAGACAAAGAGAATAGAGCTGGGGCTCGGTGGATCTCCTGTGCCTGGATGAGGCCACAGAGAAGGATCCAGCCAACAAGCTGAGGCTTTATTTTATAGTCAGAGAAAAGCAAGGTGGTGGTCAACTTAGTCACAATGTTCTTGTGAGTTTCACTTGTTTTGGCAGCACTTGCTGCATCTCCCACAGCCCACTAGCTACTTAGGAAGGATCTAGGGGGCAGCCATATGGTCAAGCTTAATTGTGGTAAGAGGGCTTTGCCCTGTAAGCTGGGACTTGCTTGTGGCTCTGCTACAGGTCAATCTGAGGCTTAACTCTAGAGCCACTTCCTACAGTCAGCGATTTTAATTTTAAATAAACATTAATGAATCAAAGACATTAATAACGATAGAACCTTACACAACAGATTATATAAAAAATAATATACATTCTTATATGTATACTAGAGACCCAGTACATGAAATTCATGCATGGGGGATGTCCCTCAGCCTGCCTGCACCCTCTCCAATCTGGGACCCCTTGGGGGATGTCTGACTGCCTCTAGCAATCTGGGACTGCTGGCTACTAACTGCTCAGCTGCCTACCTGCCTGATCGCCCCTAACCCCTCTGCCTGCCTGATCATCCCTAACCACCTCTGCTTGCCTGCCTGATCGCCCCTAACTGCTCCCCTACTGGCCTGATAACTCCTAACTGCTCCCCTGCTGGCCTGATCACCCCTAACCACCTCTGACTTGCCCCACACTCAGAACCCAGGATTCCCTCCTCCAGCCGGTAACAAGCACCCAGGACCTGGGCCGGCGGCAGCCACAGGGGTCTGGAGGTGGGCCGCTTCACCTGGGCTGCAGGCGCCCAGGATCGCAGGGTGGATGGCCTGTCCCTCTCCCCGGCCCCAGGTGCAAGTGCAGCCGCTGGAGCCTGGGACCACGGGACCCGCAGCTCCAGACGCTGGCACTAGAGACCATGGTGCAGGCAGCTTGTCCCTCTCCTGGGCTGGTCCCCATTCCTCTCTCATGAGTTCTTTTGTGGCTGGCTGGTTCCCATTCCTCTCTCCCCAGTGTTGAGTGTTTGAGCCATGACAGTGTGATGGCATGAGTGTGTAGTGACCATTTGCATATTAAGATTAAGTCAGGCACTACTACCTATTAATATAATTCATTACAAATATGAAGAGGATATATAAAATGACAGGTATTTGAGATCTTTTAAGTCCCTTTTAAAAATGTTTTTTTTATTTCTTAGAGAGAGAGTTAGAGAGAGAAACATCGACTGGTTGCCTCCCCTACAGTACCCCAACCAGGGACAGAACCCGTAAACTAGACATATGCCCTGATCAGGAATCAAACTGGCAATCTTTCGGTGCACAGGATGACACTTAACCAAATGAGCCATTCTGGCCAGGGTTTGAGAGGTCTTAGTAGAGGAAATAAGTAATGAAAAATTTTAATATGGTTTGCTGTACTGGGCTTTTCATGCTGAAAATATCAAAATGAGACATTTTTATAAAGTAGCTACATATGGCCAAAATGTTCCCATTTAATTCAGTATTTTTCCAAATTATCTAATCTCTTGATTTCATGAAGCAACACACTAGCTAGTCTTCAAATCTGAATGTATTTTCAGAGGAAATACATATCCAGTGCCTTGACAGTCTCCAACACAGTTCTCAATGACTTGTTGAATGAGTCAATAGATTAAACAGTAGACTGTAGCTGATAGCTTATTTTTTTTTACTTTTTATTTTATTTTATTTTAAATAAGTTTTTATTGTTCATATTATTACAAATGTTCCTTCCCCCCCCACCACCACCATTGCTCTCCTCCACCAGGTTCCCAACCCACCCTCTGCCCTTTCCCCTCTCCCCATTGTCCATAGGTGAACAGTTTATGTTCAGTCTCTTCCCACATCCCCCTCTCTCCTTTTCCCCAAGAATCGTCAGTTCACTCCCCTTCCATACCTCTGATTCTATTATATTCAACAGTTAATATTGTTCATCAGATTTTTTTAATTTCCTTGGTTTTTAGATTCACTTGTTGATAGTTACATATTTGTTGTTCATAATTTTTATCTTTGTTTACTTTCTCTTCTGAAAGAACACCCTTCAGCAATTCATATAATTCTGGTTTGGCGGTGATGAACTCCTTTAGCTTTTTTTTATTAGTGAAGCTCTTTATCTGGCCTTCGATTCTGAGTGATAGCTTTGCTGGGTAGATTATTTTTGGCTGTAGGTTCTTGCTATTCATCACCTTGAATATTTCTTGCCATTCCCTCTGGCCTGCATAGTTTCTGTTGAGAAGTCAGCTGACAATCGTATAGGTGCTCCTTTATAGGTTACTACTTTCTTTGCTCTTGCTTCTTTTAATATTCTCTCTTTGTCTTTTGCTCTTGGAATTTTAATAATGATGTGTCTTGATGTGGTCCTCTTTGGATTCCTTTTGTTTGGAGTTCTGTGCGCTTCCTGGACTTGTAAGTCTAATTCTTTCATCAGAGGGGGAAGTTTTCTGTCACTATTCTTTCAGTATGTTTTCGATATCTTGCTCTCTCTCATCTTCTGGGACCCCCATAATTCTGATGTTGGTTCGCTTGAAGTTGTCCCAGAGGTTTCTTACATTATCTTCAATTTTCTGGATTCTCTTGCCTTCTAGCTTCTGTGGAGGAGTGTCTCCTGGCTCTTTATGTTCCAAATCTTTGACTTGATTCTTGCGATCTACCCTTTTGTTTTTAGGACTCTGTAAAATGTTTTTTATTTCAGACAATGTATTCTTTATTTCTTGTTGATCCCTTACCATTTCTTGTTGACTCCTTATTAATTCTAGTTGATCTCTTTTCATATCCTCATAGGCCTTATCCATCTTTTCTAGGAAATTCTTGAAAAACCTTATAAGCGTAGATTTGAACTCTATATCCAGATGCTTTTTGTCCTCCATTTCTTTCGTTTGTGATCTATTTTGTTGTCGCATTTCGCAGTTACAGATGGGACGGGGTTTCAGGGTGGAGCCTGCAGCTTTGGCTTCCGTCAGCCCCGCCCTATGCGGGTCCGTCAGTGCTCGCTGCCGGCGCCTCTGAGAGAAAGGTGCCCTCGATTTTCACCTGCTGCCAAACAGTCTATGCTCTCCCACAATGAGACCTGTATTGGGGTTCAGTTCAGTTGGAAGTGGAGTTGGAAGTGGAGTTGGAGGTGGTGTTCACAGCAGTCTGGAGCCCCAGTCTCCTTCCCGCCAGGGCAATCCCGCGGCACAGCCGACTGTCCCTTCTCTGCGCGCAGTGTGCGCGCCTCCAGGACCTTCTTTCGCCTCTCCCCGGGGTTCCGCCTTACAGCCTGGCTCCCTATGGCTGAGCCTGAGTCCCCAGGGTCTGCCCTAGAACTGGGGTTCAGAGCAGTCAGGGGCCCAGCACAGAGTTTTATCTCCTTTCCGCTAGGGAACGCCCGCCAGGCACTCGGCCTCCCTCCTCTCCAGTTCCGTCCTCCGTACCTTGGGCTTTTCCAGCTCCTCCGCGCCTCCTTCTGGTTTTCTCCTTGCTTCTCGCTGTAGAATTTCCAGTCAGTCAACCTTCCTGTAGTTCTGGGCAATGTCCGTTTTATATTTTAGTTGTATTTTATTGAAATTGTTGTGTGCAGCTGCGGCTAGGATTAGGGGTGTCGAACTCAAGCAGAGAAGGGGCCAAAATCTAAAATCCAGCCTAAATCGCGGGCCGAATGGTTTACTGAACAGTCATAAACTGTCATTGTGATGGAAACGCAGCGGAGTGCAGTGATGACAGTGCGGTGCGGGCCACATTGCAAGGCCTGGCGGGACGGATTTGGCCCGCGGGCCTTGTGTTTGACACATGTGGTAGGTGTTCACCTGGGCGCAGCCATCTTGGATCTCCTGATAGCTTATTTTCTTATTTCTATACAATGCTTCCCAAACTTGTCCCACCACACATCTAGGGGGTATGATTTCAAAAGTCACTCCCATAGACAAAGATGTCAAAATCTTAGGAGGTGGTTGTGATGAGCAGTTTTTAAAAGCTGCCAGGGATTTCCATCTTCCATCTCTACTGAGAGTCACTGCCCAAGAGACAGCAGCACCTAACACCACTGCTGGCCCAGCAACACGCAGCTCTGCCTACACACCTACCACACCAGGCGGGCCTGCCCAGTGCTCTCTTTCTCCCTCAATTTTTCTGTTATTTGACTTACTTTATGGCTCTTTCTCCCTTTTCATTTTGTGAAAACACATCGACTTAACACCTACTCTAAGTGGTATTAAAAATCACAGTGGTGGCTGCCTGAGACGAGAGCCAGGATCATCTACAAAGGGCCACAACAACGCTTTTTAGGAACATGGGATTTCTTTACCTTGACTGTGGTTGTTATATGACTGTATAAAATTACCAACATTCATCAAACTACATGCAAAAAATAAGTAAATTTGATTGCATACAAATTATGCCTCAATAAAGCTGGAAAGAATAGCTATTACCATGCAGAGGGGGGAAAAAAGTACAGAGGCAGGATTTATTCCATGTGTAGCAACATAATGGTGGCATGTTATTATTTACAATCTAAGGTTCATTAAAAAAATTTATGTTTATTTACTAGCACATTCCATGAATAAAATAATTTGTTATTAGTACATCTTTTCCTTTTTTTAGTTAAAAGATTAAAATGCTGAAGAAAGAAAAATATTATCAGCAGGACACAATTTTCTGAGAGGGCTATGACAATACCAGGAAGTGAATCGGCTGTTGCTCTGCATGACTTTGTTGCAGCTTTAGTGTAAAAGCTGCCTAGGGCTAAACAAGACAAACAGAACATTGAATGCCAGGCTGAAAAATGTCTACTTGGTTCATGAGATAATAGGGAGGTATCAAAAGGGTTTTAATTTAAAAAAGACAATATTGGAGAAACCAAGATGGCGGCATAGGTAAACACCAAACTTCAGCCTCACACAACAATTTCAATAAAATACAACTAAAATACAAAATGGACATTACCCAGAACTACAGGAAAGTCGACTGACTGGAAATTCTACAACTAGAAGGAAAGAGAAACCAGAAGGAAAATCAGAGGAGCTGTAAAAGCCTAAGGTATGGAGACACGTTGCGAGTGTGGAGAGGACGGAGCCGGAGAGGAGGGGGAGGCTGAGTGCCTGGCTGGCGTTCCCTAGCAGGAAGGAGATAAAAGCTCTGGACTGTGCTGAACCCCAGACCCGACAGGGCTGAACTCCAGTTCTATGCCAGACCCTGGGGATCCAGGCTCATACGGAGGGAGCCTGGGCTGTAAGGCGGAAACTCAGGGGAGCGGCGAAAGGCAGTCCCAGAGGCGCGCACATTGCGTGCAGAGGACGGACTGTTGACCGTGCCACTGGATTGCTCTAGTCTAGCGGGAAGGAGACAAAAGCTCCAGACTGCTCTGAACCCCACTTCTTCCAACTGAACTGAACCCCAGTTCCAGGCTCATTGGGGGAGAGCATAGACTGTTTGGTAGCGGGTGAAACTCAAGGGCATCTTTCTCTCAGAGGTGCTTGCAGCAAGTACTGAAGGACCCTGAGGAGCACTGAGACTCAGGAGCCTCATAGGGCAGGGCTGATGGAAGCCAAGGCTGTGGGCTCCACCCTGAAACTCTGCCCCATCCAAGCTAAACACAGAGATTTTTAAGGCTACCAACTCAGGGAAGCTGCAAAAATGCCGAGACAAGGAAACAGATCACAAATGAAAGAAATGGAGGACAAAAAGCAACTGGATATAGAGTTCAAAACCACGCTTATAAGTTTTTTCAAGAATTTCCTACAAAAAGCCAATAAAATAAACGGGACCTATGAGGATATGAAAAGGAATCAACTAGAAATAATAAGGGATAGCAGAAACCGGTTTGGCTCAGCGGTATAGCGTCGGTCTGTGGACTGAAAGGTCCCAGGTTCGATTCCGGTCAAGGGCATGTACATTGGTTGTGGGCACATCCCCGGTAGGGGGTGTGCAAGAGGCAACTGGTCAATGTTTCTCTCTCATCAATGTTTCTAGCTCTCTATCTATCTCCCTTCCTCTCTGTAAAAAAATCAATAAAATATATATATATATTTTTAAAAAGAAATAATAAGGGATCAACTAGAAATAAAGAATACATTGTCTGAAATAAAAAATATTATACAGAGTCCTAAAATCAGAATGGAAGATTGTAAGAATCAAGTCAAAGATTTGGAACATAAAGAGCCAGAAGACACTCCTCCACAGAAGCAAGAAGACAAGAGAATCCAGAAAGTTGAAGATAATGTAAGAAATCTCTGGGAAAACTTCAAGCAAAGCAACATCAGAATTATGGGGGTCTCAGAAGATGAGAGAGAGCAAGATATCGAAAACATACTGAAAGAAATAGTGACAGAAAACTTCCCCCACCTGATGAAAGAATTAGACTTACAAGTCCAGGAAGCACACAGAACCCCAAACAAAAGGAATTCAAAGAGGACCACACCAAGACACATCATAATTAAAATTCCAAGAGCAAAAGACAAAGAGAGAATATTAAAAGCAGCAAGAGAAAAGCAGGTAGTTACCTATAAAGGAGCACCCATACGATTGTCAGCTGATTTCTCAACAGAAACCATGCAGGCCAGACGGGAATGGCAAGAAATATTCAAGGTGATGAATAGCAAGAACCTACAGCCAAAAATACTCTACCCAGCAAAGCTATCACTCAGAATCGAAGGCCAGATAAAGAGCTTCACTAATAAAAAAATTTTAAAAAGCTAAAGGAGTTCATCACCGCCAAACCAGAATTATATGAATTGCTGAAGGGGGTTCTTTCAGAAGAGAAAGAAAATAAAGATAAAAATTATGAACAACAAATACGTAACTATCAACAAGTGAATCTAAAATGCAAGGGAATTAAAAAATCTGATGAACAATATTAACTGGTGAATATAATAGAATCAGAGGTATGGAAGGGGAGTGGACTGACTATTCTCAGGGAAAAGGGGAGTGGCAATGCAGGAAGAGACTGAACATAAACTGTGCACCTATGGATGAGGACAATGGGGGTGGAGAAAGGGCAGAGGGTGGGTTGGGAACCTGGTGGAGGGGAGCAATTGAGAGGGAAAAAATAATGAAGAACATTTGTAATAATACAAACAATAAAGATTTATTTTTTTAAAAAAAGTCAATATCAAAATAGTGATCTAAATAAAAAAAAGAAAAATTCTGATACATGCTATAACATGGGTGAACCTAAAAAAATATGGCTCAACTGGTGTGGCTCAGTGGTTGAGCGTCAACCCATAAATCATGAAGTGACAGTTCAATTTCTGGACAGGGCCCAGGCCTGGGTTTCAGGCTCCATCCCCAGTAGGGGCATGCAGGAGGCAGCCAATCAATGATTCTCTCTTATCATTGATGTTTCTATCTCTCTCCCTTCCTCTCTCTGAAATCAATAAAAACATATATTTTTTAAAAGGCATCAACAGTTATTTAAAAATATATATATTATGCTAAGCAAGAGAAGTCAGACATAAAAGAACAAATCTTGTAAGATTCCACTTACATGAAATATCCAGAATAGGCAAATTATGTCAGAGAGACAGAAAGGAGAAGAGAGGTTCCAGGGACTGGGGTGGCATGGGGGTAAGGAAGGAATGGGGGTTATTGTTTAATAGGCACAGAGTTTCTGTTTGGAATGATGAAAAAAAGTATTGGAAACAGATAGTGCTGCTGATTACACAATTTTGTGAATGTAATTAATGCAATTGAATTGTATTTGTAAAAGTGACTGAAATAGTAAACTTTATGTTATAAATATATTTTGCCACAATAAAAAATAAACCAAAAGTCAGACTAAAATAAGATTTTCATGACTTAAACTCTCATATCCATATTGGAACCACTTGTCATCAATAATTAAAAATGAGCCGAAACCGGTTTGGCACAGTGGATAGAGCATCAGCCTGTGGACTGAAGGTCCCGGGTTTGATTCCAGTCACGGGCATGTACCTTGGTTGCGGGCATATCCCCAGTAGGGGGTGTGCAAGAGGCAGCTGATCGATGACTCTGTCATCGATATTTCTAATTCTCCCTTCCTCTCTGTAAAAAAATCAATAAAATATATATATTTTTTAAATAATTAAAAATGTAAAACAACAACAACAAAATAAATGGTAATCTAAAAGTGGCTCAGATGGCAGTACAGGACAATAGCTACCAACTGCTTCACATGCCAAAAGATGACAAATTATTAGACTGAAGGGACCATGTCAGTCTTCCAAATATTCCACAGTATCTAATGATACCAGGTATCCAGGAAATGGTTGTTTCATACGTTTAATTTTAAAGCACTTACCACTGTGCTTGCTTCTTTTTCCAAAGCGATCTTGATTCTGCTGGAGTCTGCTTAAAGAGAAAAAAGAACAAGAGAAAGCACATAAAGGCTCACATTACTAGATCCTAATGTGATATGCATAAAACCTGAGACAAATGAAGTTTTTAAAGCCAACCAACCAAAGCATTAGCCTGATAGCTGTAGCCAGCTAGTATTACATCTCACCTGCTTTTTGCTGTTTTATTTTTAAAGTTGACATCTGAAAGTTGACATTTAAATTTACTTAAGCCAACCCATTTAATCATGAAGAGGTAAGATATTCTGCGTGCTCAGAAGGTCATTATCGCCTTATGCCCAAGCTAACTATAGTCTGTGCTTTTGCCCACAGCTGTGGTAGCAGGTGGAATAGGTGTCCTTCACAAAAGACCAGCAGCCGGAGAGAGCATTCTGACAATGGATCCCTTCGGTAAGGATGGCTCCTTCCAGATCTTCCTCTGGCAGAGGCCAGGAGTCCCTGTTCCTCATTCATTCAACACTTTAAAGACTTGATATTATGACAGGCACTGATGATACAACAGTGAGGAAAAGAGGCATGGTCCCTGCCCTCGCAGAGCTTTCACTGCCTTAGTCTATCTATAGAATAGATGGGAGATGCCACCAGACATATGGCCCCACACGATGGTACCTCTCTGCTGGCTTAGTTCTCTTTTTAGGAATTGTAAAACTACATTTTACCAATCTTGAAACTTGTCTTAGATTATTTCTGTTGTGGTTGTTGCCCAGCATTTTATTTTTTTAATTAACTAAATTTTTGGAGGTGAAATGTATTTTCATTGATTCCAGAGAGGAAGAGAGAGATAGAAATATCAATGATGAGAGAGAATCACTGACTGGCTGCCTTCTACACACCCCACACTGGGGATCAAGCCCACAACCCAGGCATGAGCCTCGACCAGGAACTGAACCATGACCTCCTGGTTCATAGGTCTATATTCAACCACTGAGCCATGCCGGCCAGGCAGCCCAGCATTTTAAAACTAATTTCCTGAGAAGTGAATGAAAGCTACAAAACAGTACTTAAAGTGAAACTGCTGAAGCAAAAGTAACTGGCTACATCTTAAGTAATGGAGAAAAAGGCTGAATTATAAGGCTGAAGGTTTATATCACTAGAAGGGTTTATATTCTTACAAAAATAACATTTAAAGAGAAAAAAGAACAAGAGAAAGCACATAAAATTTAACGTTAAGAAAACAGTATAGTTTCCAAAGTCTTTCTTTTACAGTATCTAACACTAAGATAAATGCACCAAACAGTGGAGGATTTTGCAGCATGATCTGACGCTTAATTCTTCTCTCTTATTCTGGTCATATCTATTATCTTTGTTGGATTTTTTCAGGAGGAAGATCTGAGTCACTAATGACAAGTGAAAAAAAATGGCTTTGAAAAAATTAAGAGATGACAACTTTCAAAGGGACAATAAATTACTTTTAAAAAAATCTGCTCAGGATTTACTATAGATGTCTGAAATTTTTGTGCAGCTATTATGTAAACAATTCCAACTTTTGTACAAGTCGTTTTTTTGTTAAAATATATTGTTATTGATTTCAGAGAGGAAGTGGGAAGAGAGAGACAGAAACATCAATGATGCCTCCTGCATGCCCCCTACTGGGGACTGACTGGGAATCAAACCTGGGAAATAAACTGTGACTTCCTAGTTCATAGGTAGACACTCAACCACTGAACTACACTGGCCAGGCTGTAAATGCTTGTTTTTTAAATTTTGTTTACAAGATGGTTCTTTGGGATATAATTTCTGGTAAGATTAACATTATATTTTCATAGTTAAATTCCTAGGCTATCCCACTGAAGCTTTCTACCTTACCCATAACAAACCAGACTAAGTATGGTACCAATGATAAAACAGAAAATAATTTTTACATCACTAAAATATCCAAACTAAGCTTTTGGATCCCTGGCAAACTAAATATATAAGTTTAAAAACAGAATTATGTCTTAACTAACAAAGAAATTTTTATCTGAGGAGTATCTCTGAAAAACATCTCTAACAAATTGAAGATTTCATTTTTCTTTTTTTGTTACACTACATTTAGAAAGAACACTTGACAAAAAAAAAAAAAAAAAAAAAAAAAAAAAAAAAAGCTTTCCGAAATTCTTACCCTTTTTTCTTGGTGTACTAAGCTTAGATTTTTTAGTTTCTTCTAATACCTGTTCTCCATATTCTGTGATGATCTAAAAATTTAAAGCAGAGAATTTAAAAATATACAATACCCTTTTCTTTAGACAGTCATATCATTTAATTATCAGCATTCTTCCCCAAAATAATATTAAACGTTGAAAAGTAAGAATGCTGTTTAAAAACATATATAATTTAGACATACAGATAAACAGACACTTATATATGTCTAGAAAAATATGTAAGTGTAGGCCTAGCCAGTAGCTCAGTTGGTTAGAATGTCATCCTGATGGGCCAAGGGTTTAGCTTTGATCTCCAGGCAGGGCACACTCAGGAAGCAACCAATGAATGCCTAAGTAAGTAGCACAACAAATCAATGTTTCTCTCTCTCTTTCTCCCCTTCTCTTCCTCTCTCTAAAGATAAATAAATAAATATGAAGAAAGAAAAGTATCTGAAAGGATATACAAAACTATACCTGTGATTACCCTTGGGTACTAGCATTATGGAAGGGGAAGAGGAGGAAAAGGAAGTTTTAACTTTTAATGTTTTTTTATGCACACCTACATTTGAGATTTTACAATCACGTATTTATATTTAAATACAACAAATACTTGAAAACTATGCTTCTTTTTTATTAGATAGGATGATAAAAGCCAACTCAACACACTGCATACCTGTGGGGTTAAGCACTTCTGGATAAGCCGAGCCAAAACGCCTCTAGAGAGAAGCGTGGTAGCTGAGGGGCGATGGGAAGGATTCCTTTTAAACATCTGCTTGATTAGATGCTGAAGCTCATAGGAATAATGAGATGGCAGTGGGCTCACAGACCCCTGACATACTTTCAGGATAAGACTTTTCCAACTATTTGCCTGAAACTAAAAAATAAAATAGAACTGTAAAAGCAGATGCATGGAAGGAGAATGCAAATAAGAAAACACCAGCTGAAGTAAATTCATATGAATTATTTTAATTTTATAAATTTATCTGCTGCCTGGTCATTTTTCTTCCTGAAGGTGCTCTTATGATACTCTTCAAAATCTTATGGCATTTCAGGAGAAAGTAATACACTCAAATAGTAAATAACAAAGGATTTCCCCATCTACAGAAAGTCTTACAATCAATGCCAGCCATGGTACTTGATTACTTATAACCACATCTCTGAAAATGCTTACTAGAACTAACTTCTAATCTGTGCCCAAAGAACAGAATTTATTTCCTTGCAAAGCCAATAGGAATAGGTTCTGTGTAATAACTGCTGAGCCAGCAGGGCAAGTTATTTAACATCTTTTTTGTTAAATTCTTTCTTAAAATATCAAGAAAAATATCTATATCTTAAGAGACAGTAAAGCAACAAGCACACTGTCAAATTACAGCAGGGAGGGTACGGAGATCTGGGGGAGATAATAGATCAACCGAAGGACTTGTATACATGCATATAAGTACAACCAATGGACACAAAACTCTGGGGAGGGAGGTATGGATGGGAGGGAGGAGGCAATGTTAAAATATGTACACAGATAATAATTTAATTTTTAAAAATGTAAAAATAAGAAAGAAAAATATCTATATCTATATATATAGATAGATATATAAACACCTAATATGCTAAGTGTCTGTCCGACCATTCAACTGGTAGCTATGATGTGCACTGACCACCAGGGGGCAGACGCTCAATTCAGGAGCTGCCCCCTGGTGGTCAGTGCACTCCCACAGCAGGAGCGTCACTCAGCTGACCAATGGGTGCCAGACTCCGGGCTCACAGCTGGCGAGCGCAGCTGTGGCAGCGTGAGCCTCTCCCACAGACACTCCCCCTGCACACCCCTCCCCCATCCGGACTGGGCACGAGCCAATGGCCACTTCTTGGTCATGGGCCCACCAGTATTGCCCTAGACGGGTACATGGAGACTAAATCGGAGCAGCAGCGAGCCTACCAAATGGCAGTGGAATGGGGCCAGGATGAGCAGGAGCAGTGCGGCACCTGGCCCAGGCTCGGTTCCACCCCAGGTGCCTGCCACTTCACACACTACTACATCCCTCAGGGTATGGCAGACTGCCAGTTTCAGCCCAATCTCCGCAGGCCACGGCGAGGGACCCATGGGTGCACGAATCTGTGCCCCAGGCCTCCAGTCTATAATAATAAAAGAATAACATGCTAATTGGACCAGATGTCCTTCCAGACAACCTTCCGGACGAAGTCAGGACTGCGAGGGCCAAGGTGGCCGCCACGGCGGGCAGGGGGGGCAGGGAGGCAGCCACGGCAGGAGTGGGGGCTGAGCCCTTTCCATGGATTTTGTGCATCGGGCCTCTAGTATAACATAACAGTCTATTTTCTCATAATAATTCAGTTAGAGAAGAAATTCACATAATATCGATAAGTGAAATCTAAGGGCAAAAAGGTACAAAAGTATAAAAATGGCGCTGCCACTGTGGAAAACAGTTTGGCAGTTCCTTAAAAAGATAAACTTACAATTTCCATATGACTCAGCAATTCTACTCTTAGCTATTTTCCCAACACAATTGGAAATAGGGATTCTAATACATAGATGTATACCCATGTTCATAGCAGCAGTACTCACAACAGCCAAAAGGTGGAAAGAACCCAAATGTACATCAATAAATGAATGAATAAAATACGATATAAACATATAATGTAATATTATCCTATACTAGAGGCCCGGTTCACAAAATTTGTGCACGAAGGGGTATTTCCCTCAGCTCAGCCTGCACCCTCTCCAATCTGGGACCCCTCAAGGGAAGTCTGACTGCCCGTTTAGGCCCGATCCTGGTAGGGATCTAAACGGGCAGTTGGACATCCCTCTCACAATCCAGGACTGCTGGCTCTCAACTGCTCGCCTTCCTGCCTTCCTGATTGCCCCTAACCACTTCTGCCTGCCAGCCTGATCACCCCCTAACCACTCCCCTGCCAGTCTGATTGCCCCTAACTGCCCTCCCTTGCAGGCCTAATCCCTCCCAACTGTTCTCCCCTCCTGGCCTGATCGCCCACAACAGCCTTCCCCTGCTGGCCATCTGTGGTGGCCATCTTGTGTCCACATGGGGGCAGCTATATTGTGTGTTGGAGTGATGGTAAATTTGCCTATTAGTCTTTTATTAGATAGGATAGAGACCTGGTGCACAGGTGGGGGTTGGCTAGTTTGCCTTGAAGGGTGTCCTGGATCAGGGTGGGGTTCCTTTGGGGTGTGGGGCGGCATGGATGAGGGGTCTGTGGTGGAATGCAGGCCAGCCATGCCCTCCAGCAACCCAAGCCAAGGCCAAGGATTTATTTTCGATAATTGAAACTTTGTAGCCTTAAGAGGGGGCCAGGGCAGGCCAGGGTGGAAAGCTTGGCTTCCTCCCTTGCCAGGGAAACCCAGGCCTCCAGTTGGCTCCAGCTCTGTGGCTGCTGCAATATTTGTTGGATTAATTTGCATACTCGCTTCTGATTGGCTGGTGGGCATAGTGGAGGTATGGTCAATTTGCATGCTTCTTTTTTATTAGATAGGATAATAAGAGCCTAATATGCAAATCGACGGAACAGCAGAACTAGTCACCATGATACACACTAGAGCTGACGCTCAACACAGGAGCTCCCCCCCGGTGGGCAGTGCGCTTCCACATGGGGATACTGCTCAGCCAGAAGCTGGGCTTACAGCTGGTGAAGGCAGCGGCAGCAGTGGCAGCAGTGGCGAGAGCCTCTCCTGCCTCCACTGTAGGGGGTGGTCAGGAGAAAGGGGTCCTTGACTGCGAAAGCCCCAGACTGCAGTCAGACATCCCCCAAGGGATCCTGTACTGTGAAAGGGCGCAGACAAGGTTGAGGGATACACCCCACCTCCCAGTACATGAATCTCATGCACCAGGCCTCTAGTCCTGTCATAAAAAGGAATAAAATCCTGATACATGCTGGATGAACTTTGAAAACTTCCTTCTATATGTAGTAAGCTAGACATAAAAGAACAAATTTGTGTATAATTCCACTTATATGTAATATCTAGAATATGCAAATTCATAGAGACAGAAAGTGGACTGGAGGTTAGCATGGATTAGGTGAGAGGCAATGAGAAGCTATTGTTTAATGGTACAGAGTTTCTGTTTGAGGTGGATAGAAAAGTTTTGCAAATAGATAGTAGTGACGGTTGCACAACATTGTGAAGTAATTAATGCCACTGAATTGTACAATTAAATATAGTTAAAATGGTAAATTTAAAGTTATATATTTTGCTTCAATAAAAATCAAGACTAGCAAAAAAGGGAGGGAGGGAGGGAAGGAGGAAGAAAGGGAGAGGAGAGTAAAAGAAAGAAGGGAGGGGGGAAAAAAGAAAGGAAGGAGGGGAGCTAGATACAGAACTACAAAAAATGAAATAATGGAAACTTCTATTAGTATATGCTACAAAAGTGACTCAAGGCAAAGATGATAGCAATGGAAACATGAAAACTTTTATAACGAATTCATCCTAGGGAAGCAAACTTCCCACTGGACTTAGGCATATAACTTATGACTTGGCCAGATATGACAAGAGGCCACCTTTCCATTTTGCCCACCACACTTACTGGATGCTTCAGGGCACAGAGTTCATACAGAATGCATCCCAAGGACCAGATGTCACTAGAAACAAAAAGAAGCAAAGTGGGAAAGAAGAAAAAAAAAGAAGCAAAGTGGGTTATGAGTTATCATATAAAAGTATAGGTACTTTCCAATATTAAAAAATGAAAAAATACCTTTAATAAAAACAGATATTGCAAATAACTTCTAATGTTTATGTCATACTTGGGTAGTTGCTCACAATAATCTCTCTGCTCCACAACCTCTAGGTTCTCCAAATCTGGGTGGTTCAGGTATCATTTCAGCAGTATTTGGTCAAAGAGAGGAACTTTGTAGACTCCCATTATCCTAGTTGAAAGGAGGACTTTAGGAGTCATCCATACAACTTACAACCAGACCATCTATGCACAAACCAGGCCTTGGATCTTGCCTCCTGTTGGACAGCAATCCAACTCAGGCACAGTTTGTGGCCCTGTTGAATGGCTCTAGGGCACCATCCACATCTTCTGGGGATTCTCCCCCAACCTCTTGTTAGCTCTACATTCCAAAACAAAGAGGGCAGGACTAGTCATTCTCCCTCAGAAGAGCTCTTCCAACAGAAAAGAGCCCTATGCATTCACTCTTCTTCACCATTCTCACCTCCTAGTTGTCATCCTCTAGGCTTTTTGGAGATGATTAGAGGCCCAATGCATTATATTCATGCAAGAACAGGCTTTCCTTCCCCTGGCTTCACTCCCAGCCACCCAGGAGCTGGCACAACCCTGCTCCTGGTCTGCCAGGGAGCCGACAAGTCCTCGCTTCCGTCCGGGGCCCTGCTCCTGTAGCTCCCTCTGCCTCAAAGAAGGCATCCTGCCTCTCCTGGCCACTTCATGCCTGCACATGCAAATTAACCCACCTTCTTTGTTGGGTTAATTTGCATACTCACTCTGATTGTCTGTGGGCATAGCAGAGATACCCACTGATTCAATGGGCACATATTATTATATTCAGAAAAAGTTTTAGGTTTTAAATCATAAGGTCCTCATTCTATCTTCTTATAATCAATTAACCTATCAGTCAAGTGCTTATTACCTAGTCCTGTAAATGTTAACTCAATGACATAATCCAGTGGTCCCTAAATTTTGCTGCACATTGGAATCATTAGGTGATCCTGGAAAAATTACTGAGGCCTGCTTCCCACCCAAGACATTCTCATTTAACAGATATGATTGCAACTTGCACTTTGCAAATTTTAGAAGCGTGAACAGTGAAGTTTAAGAATCAGTGAAATAATTCACACTGTTTCTAGAAATGACTAGTCTTTCAGCATTAAATTCAGCTCTTCTCAACTCTGATTATAGCAGTTAGGAAACTATGATTTTTTTCTAGAAGCCTAGGAATTCAGATTTGTTTCAGGTATATTTTATAAAAAAAAATCTTCATTTGTAGACTATAATGCCTGTCACCAAACAATCACCTTTGCACCAAATAAGTACACCACCTACCTTTTATTGTTATAAGGCATGTTTTCCCAAATTTCCGGGGGCACATAATAAGGTGTTCCCACATATGTACAAGCAAATGCCATGGGACTAAAAACATGGAAAGGCAAAGAGTAAGTACAGAGTATTCCTGAATAATGAATGTTTTGATTGCTCTCACTATTATAGAAGAGATATACACACTTGGAGAGAAGATGGGCAGATCCAAAATCTCCCAGTTTCACTTGTCCATTTTGGGTGAGGAAGATGTTCTGTGTTAAAAAAGAAGAGCTCAGATTACATCTTCCATCATAGAGGTCTCCAGAGAAGGTGTCTTTCAAAGCCTGCTCACCATGGAGATTAAGGACAGAAATGCTGACAGCTGAGTCCCCAAAGGGAACTCAAAGAGCAGATAGCCTCTTGACTGCTACCCATGCTCCCCATCCCCCACCCCTGCCCTGGCTTGGGAATTTAGGATGACTGCTTAGAAATCTAATAGCCATGCTCCAAGCTGTCTCAGCAGACCTGATCGACCCTGCTGGGAACCTGTGTCAGCGTAACCCCATGTGGCACAACCAGATCTCAGTCATCTTCCATCTTTAAAAAGCAGTCACCAAGAGAGCTTAATGCCAAAACTGGTTTGGCTCAATGGATAGAGCGTTGGTTTGCGGACTGAAGGATCCCAGGTTCGATTCCGGTCAAGGGCATGTACATTGGTTGCAGGCACATCCCCAGTAGGTCAATGTTTCTCTCTCATCAATGTTTCTAGCTCTCTATCCCTATCCCTTCCTCTCTGTGAAAAATCAATAAAATATATTTTTAAAAAGAGAGAGAGCTTGAAACTTATTAACATACTAGAGGCCTGGTGCACAAATTCATGCATGAGTGAGTACCTCAGCCTGGCCAGTGAGTGGGGCTGATTGGGCCATGGGAGGAGGGCCACCCCAATCGGAGCCGCAGAAGGTTGGCCAGGGCCGCATGAGGTTGGCGGTGGGAGCGTACTGACCACCAGAGGGCAGCTCCTGCATTAAGCATCTGCCCCCTGGTGGTCAGTGCATGTCATAGAGACCATTCGACTGGTTGTTCGGTCACTTAAGCTTTTAGATAGATAGACAGATAGATAGGTAGGTAGGTAGATAGATGATATAGATATAGATATAGATATAGATATAGATATAGATATAGATATAGATATAGATAGATATAGATAGATAGATAGATACTACTAAAGAGATTTAGTAAGTTTTCTCAGGTAGTACCTTATTTGGCTAGTATGAATACTAGGTTGACAAAGATTTCTAAACTAAATAATATAAATGTCCCAAAAGGAAATAGAATAACACAGAAAAAAGATTAAATGAAATGGTTTTGGGTTTTGTTTTGTTTGTCTCAAAAATTCATTCCACTTACCTTGGATTTGATATCTCTGTGTAACACATGTTTCTTGTGAATGTGATTTACTCCAAGGCACATCTGTGTAAACCAATTAAGTATCTGTAAGACAAAAGCACACAAATCTGCAAGAATGCAAAAACTGGTTCATATTAACCCGGAAATCCAAATGGTCTCTAGCCCTTAGTGTTACATAATGTAAACATAGAACTCCTAAAAATGACATAGTTTGATTAAAATTCAGTGTTTTCTGGCCGAAACCGGTTTGGCTCAGTGACAGAGCGTCGGTCTGCGGACTGAGAGGTCCCAGGTTCAATTCCGGTCAAGGGCATGTATGTTGGTTGCGGGCACATCCCCGGTGGGGGTTGTGCAAGAGGCAGCTGGTCAATGTTTCTCTCTCATCGACGTTTCTAGCTCTCTATCTCTCTCCCTTCCTCTCTGTAAAAATATCAATAAAATATATATTTTAAAATTCAGTGTTTTCTGGAAAAAGTCAGAAAAGCTGTGAACCCATGTTTCATCATTTTATGTGTGATACAAATAGCAATTTATCTTAATAGAACTCCCCCTGTATTTTTCTGGTATTCAACCAAATAAAAGTATTTTTAAAATATATTTTTCATTGATTTCAGAGAGGAAGGGAGAAGGAGAAAGAGACAGAAACATCAATGATGAGAGAGAATCATTGATTGGCTGCCACCTGCATACCCCACACAGCAGACTGAGCCAGTAACCTGGTATATACCCTGACCAGGAATCGAACCATGATTTCCTGGTTCATAAATCAATGCTCAACCACTGAGCCATGCCGGCCGGGCTAAAAGTATTTCTTAAATACACATACACCACTTACAAATGAATATGGTACAATTTTATAGTGTAATCATTACAATCAGATTTTTATTTTTCATAATATTTTTATATTAATATTAAAGGATTTAATTATATTGTCAACAATCCTTTGAGGACAGTATTCTGCTTATAAACTTCTAGTCAATAGCAGCCAGAATTTCCAGGTGCCTACAATCAAATGTCAAACTAATTTTTTTCTTTTTGCTATGAAGATTCATCCATTTGAAGGCAAGATTGACTTCTTTTTATGAAAACCATAAACAACTTTTAAATAAAAATTCTTTTACCAACAGTTTTATAACATGTTATACCCAAATCCTATTAAAGATGTTTATTTAGTTTCCTTAGTCAACTCATTCAAATAATATTAGTATGCAATTTTCCATTATAAAGGCAGTAGTACTGGTATATGTACACAAATAATAATTTAATAAAAAATAAATAAATAAAATAAAATAATATAAAAAAACCAAGAAAAAAATAAATAAAAAATAAATAAAGGCAGTAGTACTGCCCTAACAGGTTTGGCTCAGTGGATAGAGCGTCGGCCTGCGGACTGAAGGGTCCCAGGTTCAGTTCTGGTCAAAGGCATGTATCTTGGTTGTGGGCATATCCCCAGTAGGAGGTATTGCAGGAGGCAGCTGATCTATGTTTCCCTCTCATCAATGTTTCTAACTCTCTATCTCTCTCCCTTCCTCTCTGTAAAAAAAAAATCAATAAAATAGCCGAAACCAGTTTGGCTCAGTGGTAGAGCGTCGATCTGCGGACTGAAAGGTCCCAGGTTAGATTCTGGTCAAGGGCATGTACATTGGTTGTGGGCATATCCCCGGTAGGGGGTGTGCAAGAGGCAGCTGGTCAATGTTTCTCTCTCATCAATGTTTCTAACACTCTCTCCCTCTCCCTTCCTCTCTGTAAAAAATCAATAAAATATATTTTTTTTAAAATAAATTATATATATATATATATATATATATATTTTTTTTTTTTTTTTTTTTTTAAGGCAGTAGTAGTAGACTTAAAAAAATATGCTAAACTTTAGAAGGAAAAAGATTCAGAATAGGTACTCCCAAGAAACAGAAATGTGGACTTCACTTTTTTCATGATCTAGAAATAAAAAATAAATCCATCCACCTTTAAAATTTAAATACAACATAAATAAAAAATTTAAATATCTACAAAATATGATATACAATTTTGAAAATATTCTAAACATGGAAGTTTTATTCCTTGATATTTTATAAGCTTATATCTATTTTACTTCCTAAAAGCATCCCAGGCAGCCACATCCTGACCACAACAAGCACTGACACAGAAAGGAGACCTTTCTAGCTGTTGTGTCAAACAGTCACAGGTTCCAATGCTGTCATTCTAACTCACACCGATTTTATGAGAAAAGTTGCTTCTAAATCTTGAGGCAAACTATGCAAGTCGGTTTCTTACCATATCTTCAGGAAACAACTTTCCTTTCTGATGTTTAATCTTCTGCATTAGGTCCCCTCCATCGCAATATTCCATCACAATATAGAGATGCCCTTCAGCTAAAGCAAATAAAAGACTCTTTATGAAAGTGTGGTAGACATAAATCAAATTCAGACATGCACGTATCTGGGGGGATTCATCTTTACCTTCAAATGACTCTGTAAAGGCAACAATATTGGGGTGTTTCATTTTGGCTAACAGAACAGCTTCCTTCCTGGAGTTCTGTGTATCAGAGAAAGACTAGAAGAATATTTTAAATAAGTGTAAATGTAATACTTCATTTGAGAGTAGACAGCTTCACAATAATGAGTTCATATGACATTTCAATGCCAAACACAGTTTTATAGCATTATACTTTCACCCATGTGAAGTTTATAAAACTCTAAGAGATAACATGATTTTCCAACTATGGCTATATTTTGCATGCTTAAGCTGATATATCCTTACAAGTATGGAACATAAACTAGCTTTAACATCAGCCTAACTATAACCTGATTTTGTGAGCCAGTGCAGTGCCATCAATAATAATAGTATATCCTTAAAGCAAAATTAGAGACTTCATGTCTTAACTGTCCACATTACTTTGTCCACTGGCACAGATAAAAAAGAAGACACTGGTGTATACTACAGCACAGATGGACAAAGACCACATGCAAAGAAAGTTTCCAAAATTGTTTATCCCCGAACTTACTCCATGAGGATGACTTACCTTACAATGAAGAAACAAGGATCCTCACACCAGCAACGTCAGCACCAATGGTAATTTGTTAAAAATGAAAATTCACTGGCCCAACCAGACCTCCTCAAGCAAAAACTAGGACGAAGGGAGGAGGGTGAAGCCCAACAACTGCCATTTTAACAAACCCTCCAGGTGATTCCATGCCTATTCAAGTTTGAGAATCACTAAACAAGGTCAAGAATGCAGTGAGGGGGCAATAGCACTTTGTGACTTTATTTTTAAAATTCCTTTTCAAAAACTGAACAAAACAGAATTAAGCAGGCTCCATGGCATAGATTCTTTCATGTGCAACTAACGATGATGCATAGTGATAAATAGTGATACCAGTCGATATCACATTCATCATCACACAGGGAAATAAAAGCTATAAACTGACCTACAGAATAGGTTCCCTGTTATCAACAGTTAGCATTTTAGGTTTTTGCTCTTCATTGTATTTTTATGTTCCTTTTTCATCAATATTGCACCTGAGTAGTTATTGACAAAGACTCCCTACACACTTAAGTATACAAAATTAGAAATAATTACAAATTATTCTCATTGAGATAAACAGCAATTGTCACTTTTGACTATTTTATCCCTTTTGTTAATATCCTAAGAACCATATAAAGTATATCAAGACCTTGTACAGCTAATGAGTGAAGAAACCCATAACATCTGATGCACAGAGCAGCAACTCCATGTGACATCTCCAGAAACTGTTCTTATACAAATTACTTGTACACTTTCAACATGAGCTAATATTTTAAGCAGTGACCTTGGAAAGCCTTATTTCCTTCATGGCAAACATGCGATTACTGCCCTCCTGCCGAACCAAAAGGGCTCTGCCGAAGGAGCCCTCCCCGATCACTCTCAGGACCGCGTAGCCATCCATGCTGGGCTCCCCGTCGCAGCCTGGCTCCATGCCCACGTCTCCACCGGTACTCCCAAACTATATGCAAAAACAGAAACATCTGAGAATTACAGTTATTATCAAAAGGCAGAATTAATTCAAAGTAGCTCTAATCACATGACAGGACAATAGCAACTTAATCCTTTATTCTTTCAACAGTTTGATACTGAGCACCTGTGCCAGCTTTTATAATCCTGCGCAAATCTCTCATCATTCCTGCCCTCACAGACTCCCAATGCAGATGGGACCACAGATCTCAACAAATGTAGGGTGGTGAGTCTTACAAATAGAGCTACTCTGGCATCCAGCAGAAAAATCCAGGGGAGTTAGAAAAATGATATTTAAGCTGAAGGATGAATGGGAGCTGGCTAGGCAAAGAGGGGGTCAAAGAGTGATGGGGGGAATCACATATTTAAAAGCAAAGAATTGAAAGAGGACTGTAACAGGCTGGTAAAGCAGATAGGGCCTGTCGGAAGGCCATTGTAATCAAGCTCAGGTTGCTGGATTTCATCCTTGGGGTAATTAATAGGTTGTCTCTGAAGGGTTTTAATCAAGACAGCAATATATTATAATCATAGCTGCATATTAACCTGTTAACCGAGCGGGACGTATAAATAAGTCAAACGTAAACAATATCGTGTACGGGTAGGACGTATGAATACGTCCTTGAAATATACGTTGCGCCCTGAAACGGGCGGGACGTGTATTTCCAAACAACAAAGGTATTAGTCATCCATACATGTCTCCACATGAATTTAAGACACGGAGGGAATCAGTATAATTTCGCTATTGAGAGTGGAGGATGTGTTCTGGGTGAGCAGTGACGGGTAAGTACTTACACTTACCTACCTATTTTCGTATTATATGTTATTTACTTATATTTTTTATATCTCCAAGCTTTATATAATAAAACACATATAAAATTCTTAAAGCAGGGTTCTTTGAAAACTCTGTATAATCTCTTGCATTCTAAGTAATTTTGGGATTTAGACCTTCTTTCATATTTATGGAAATAAATCATATGATCCTTTTCTATATTCTCAGTAGGAATGACAGAGCTCCAAAACGTCAAGTTTTGAAGTAATTGGAGGGATTAAACACAGCTAATTTGAGAGATTGAAAACATAGATATCCCACAGATAACCTATTCAGTGTGCATACACTTCAAAGAAGCTGCATCTTATTGCTAAAGAAAGTACCTCCCAGCGTTTAAAATATGACAGCCTGTCAGGGACTCCGTAAAATTACTGGAAAGCTGACACATTCAATAACATTCTTTCTGTCTTTCATAACCACATGTGGCTGAGAATAAAGTTTGAACCAATTTGAATGTTTTACTCTTGCTGCCAGTAGCAGTCATTTTCCTATAAAGCAATCTCATTGGTGACACCAGTGTTAAAGAATGAGAATGCCAATAAAGGTTGTGCTAGATGAGCTTAATTAACTAGGTATTTTACAATTATGGTTTGCCAATTCAAAGATAATGCACTTATGATGCTTCTCTTACTGTTCACAATAAAAATATTGTGTTAAATAAAAAAAAATAATAATAAAAAAAATAATAATAAAATAAAAATAAAAAACATATAAAATTGATCCAATCATCAATTAATTTGTCAGAAAGGTTTAAAAGTTTTTATGTATGTGAACGAGAAATATGCGTAGATGAATCTCTTTTATTATGAAAAGGGAATTTATCATGGAAACAATATATATCTACAAAAAGAGGTAGATTTGGAATGAAGTTGTTTATTTTGAGTGAAAGCCAATCTGGATACGTACAAAATATAATTTTATACACAGGCAAGGACACAAATTACGGTTTGAACTACCCACAAGAAAAACAATCAACAAGAATTGTTTTGGAGTTAACACATGACTTGCTGAATAAAGGATATAGGATTTACTTAGATAATTTCTATACGTCAATTCATTTGGCTGAACGCTTGTGTCAAAACAATACAGACATTGTTGGAACAATGAGGATAAACAGAGTCGGAATCCCCAGTGAAATAAAAACAAAAAAATTACAGAAAAATGAACATATGTAAGAATCAAAGACAAACTTATGGTTTTAAAATGGAAGGATAAAAAAGTTGTATTGATGCTCAGTTCTATTCATAATGACGAAAAGACAATGATTGAAAAGAGAGGAAGAAGGCAAGAAAAACTGAATGTTGTCCTGGATTATAATAAGAATATGGGCGGCGTAGATTTGGGAGATGGAGTTATGGTGGCCTACATGGCTGCCCGTAATAGGGTAAAAAAATTTTATAAAAAAATTTTTTCTACGATTAATTGATATGTGCTGCTTCAATGCATATATTATATACAAAAAAGATAAAGGTCATTTGGATCGATGACACTTTTTGATAGAGTGTGTAAAGAAATTGGTAGATAACAAGATAGTGAAAACCCACCCAAAGACATCAACAAGCAGCTCTACATCTCTAAACCATCACGCTTAGTTGAAAGGCATTTTCCAGAACAAATGAAAAGCGATATAGGAAAAACTAAATCCAGGAAATGCCGAGTTTGCTACAAAAAAAGGTGTTAGGAAAGAATCTACATACTGGTGTCCAGATTGTAAGGTAGCACTATGTATAACAATTGTTTTAAAATATATCACATGGAAGTTGAGTTTTGAATTTTTACATTTATATTTCAGTTTTTTAAACTCAATATTTCTATTTTATTTGTGTGCTTTTGTCTATTCTGTAATTGTTAACTTTTTAACATTTTTTATTGTGTATAGAAATAAAAAATATATTTTTTTGGTAATCTTTATAATTATTTATAAAATTTATAATTTTTTAATTCGATGTTTCCATTTTTTTGTAGGTATTCTTTTCTATTTGTTTGTAATTTTGTATTTTCCTTTGTGCTTTATATATAAATAAATGAAAAATATATATATTTCATTTATTTTAATTAAGTATAAATTAAAAAATAATAATATAAAATTACATCCACTGGGCGTGACGTACTGACATGTCCTAGTGAAAGAGTATGCGCCCGTTGTACGTTGTGTAATTAAAAAGGGAACTCCCGGGTTAATAGGTTAATACAATCACTTGCTCTGGCTGTAGAGTGAAGACTAGACAGGAGAGGGACAGGAGGCCCACAGTGGAGACTCCAATAGAAAAGGAAGGGAAATGATGATGGAATGGAATAGGTGGTGGCAACAGATATAAAGAAAATGGGAAGCAAATGTGTAGAAAGAATTGACAAGATTTTTGGTGATAGCACTGACCGGTTTGGCTCAGTGGATAGAGCATCCACCTGCAGACTCAAGGGTCCCAGGTTCAATTCCAGTCAAGGGCATGTACCTAGGTTGCGGGCACATACCCAGTGGGAAGTTTGCAGGAGGCAGCTTATTGATGTTTCTAACTCTGCCTCTCTCCCTTCCTCTCTGTAAAAAATCAAAAAAATATATTTTAAAAAGTATTTTTGGTGATAGATTTATGGATAACTAGGGAGAAGGGGACAAGGTAGACTCCCAATTTCCTGGTATAAACTGGGTAAATGATGGTATTATTCCCTTAAAAAGAGGGAAGTCACAATGGCTGAGTGCATGGCTTTTGACTTTTCTGCTGGAAATGTGACAGGGATGGGGAAAGGCACGTTGATTTGGAGGTAATAAAAGATAGTAAACAGTGTTTGAGCTCAGTTTCTCCCCCCCTCCCCTTCTGTACTTCCAAGATGAAGCAGCTAAGTTGTATTGCTTAATACATAAGACAAAATGAACAGAAAATTCCTAATACTTTGGTACATAGGAGGCCCCAAATAAAGGGCAGCTATTGTTATCATTGAAACCTTAGAAAGGTGAGCCTTTGTTTTTGTTTTAGTTTTTCATTACAGAAAAAAAAACACTGTATGAGTTTACTCCATTTTCGGGAAGCTTACTGGTAGTGCTTTATTTTTAAGTCACAACACACGGAATTATGAGGCACAGAGAGCAAGGCAGGTAAGGCAAAAATCACTAAGCAAAAACTGAGTGGAAATGCCAGAAGTGGGATCACCGGGGAGACACAGGAGCTGAGAAGGTGGGCGGGGTGACCGCACCAGGAGACCAGACATTCGGTTCCCCCGCGCCCCGCGCGCTCCCCGCGCCCCCGCGCCCCCCGGGGCCCCGCGTCCCCCGGACCCCGCGCCCCCCGGGGCCCCGCGCTGGGGCAGCCCCCACGGCGCCCGCGGACGGGAGCTGCGGCCGGAGCGCGAACCCCGCTCGCCCCCACCTCGAGCGGGCGCGCCTGGCCCCAGACCCCACGCGGGCGCCACCCGCCGCGGCCCCCAGAGGCCGCAGGCCCGGACTCTCACCGCTCCTCCCGCCGCCGCGGCTCCTCCGCCCCCGCGACCGGCGCTTCCGGGCGGCGCCCGCTGCGCGCGGGGCTTCCCGGCCGGCGGGGGCGCTGGTCTCGGAGGAGGCGGCCTCCAAAGGCGCGCTTTAACCTGGTTTCCTGCGGCTCCAGGACGGGAACGTGGCCCCCAGTAACCTCAGTTTGTCCCCGGGTTAAGGGACCCGCCGTGTAGATAAATGGCGGGGGCTCAGTGTGGTAACCCAGGAGAGACCCCTCACTCGGACACAGATAAAAAACGTTTAGAAAAGCGCGTTTATTTCCTGCGCCCGGTCTGCAGCCGGTGGTGCAGGGAAGAAGGGACCGGACTGCAGCCCCAAGCTCTCGAAGCCTTTTGCTTATATAGGCTTCTCATCCTTAGCAAGCAAGCAAGCTACGTGTATAGAAGCGGCTATCTGCCTTTAGCCATCAGCAATTCCTAATTATTTTACATGTAACATGTCAGTTCTCCCTTCCTCCTGCCGCCACCTGGCCTTACCCCTCTTGTATCAGATAGTGGTCAGCACATCCTGCTTTTAATGAGCTTGTTTTAACGAGCTGTGCAGCGGCTGCCCTGCTGGCCTTGTGGAATTTATGGTGCACAGCTGCTGCGCTGGCCTTGGGAATTTTTCAGTCCGTAACACTCAGCACTCAGCTAGAGGGCCGTGA